AGTACATTTTCCAGATTTAAAGGGAACATACTGGAGTACTTAGCTAAGACAACTGCATTAATGCTCAACGTTTGAAGAAAAAAAAGACATGTTACCCACACTTAACTCTTTGAGTCCCAGGAAATGCATCACACGCCGATTTATTTCAACAGTGCGGCCCAATCAACGCGTGACAAATGAAAGTTTTTAATCTACCACTGAACCGGTAATACTGCCCAATTTCAACTTCCTTTGTCTGATATAAAGCGTGCTCATTTAGAAACGTGGGTTGAAAGCCGAAAATACAGTAAATTTGCGAGATTCGCCTAGTTAATATCTACTAAGTGTTTGTAAAAAAAAAATATGAACGCCAAGCAGTATTCTACGTGAATGCCAACATGATTTACGGCCATAGAAGCCTAAACATTTAAATAAAGTACATTTTTTTAAAAAGATTCATTTGGTTAGATAAAGCTGCGAAATAGACGTGTTTCAGTCATTTATAGAGTCAAACTTTGATGAGGGATATGTCTAATGTGTACCTCACGCGAAGGGTACAATGACAGCAAAGTCAGCTGCCACAAATAGAATAAACATTACTGAAAAAAAATTTTTTTTTTTAGTGTCAGTTAGTTCTAGTGCTATTCCCCTTATTACAAAATTACAGGCAAATTGAGTGTTATATAAACTTCATTTTGTGTGAAGATACTTATTGTTTTGAGATTGACTTTTCTTTACCCAAAAATAGTGCTGTTATGATGCTTCAAAAGATTTTCTGGAACAAAATCTAACGTATAGATTGAGTTTATATTTTACTTATACATTACTAAGTGGTTCATACTTATTTGTGATTCATTTTGGATACATTTTAACCATTTTTTTGGGTGCCATGGTGGTAAGTTGAAATATTTTTAAAATTTAAAATTTAATTTTACTGATTTTTGTAAACATACTGTCAGTTTATTACTAATATTTTATTACTAACGCAATTGTTTGTTGTAGCTATCTTCTTAAATTTTTCCTCTACAAACCCTGGTCACTTTGATGTATAATATGTGTATGTTGCGTGGCAATTGAATTAGTAAGGTCTATTTTAATGTGCTTCACTAGTGAAATAAAAAAAAAATTGCATTACCACCTATTAGGCCTCTGATGATAAACCCTCTGGGACTCGAAGAGTTAAAGATAGTTCTATTGCTCGCCTATCTGTCGCAAAAACTTATCACTAAAAGAAATATCACCATACATAAATGCAATGGCTTTCCCGCCTAGAAAATTATTACTAATACGTCCGTTGCATTTTGAAATAACCACTTCCAACCATCTGCAATGTCAGTCGACAACAAAAATATAAGGGATCAGTGCTTGCCACGTGACTATGAGCATCAGCTGCTGTAAAAGAACCACCTGTGTGAACATTCATGATAAAACCAAAACCAGGAATAAATCACCAGCAATGGACACAGACAAGGAGCAGACCACTAATGATCTGTCCTGGATACTTGCCCCAGTCATACGGACAGTTAGCAATCATACTCGAGTGACAGAGTGCTGCACGGTCTTGAGGCATGGTGTTTGCCTTGAGTGCTAGAGGTCCTGGCTTCAATCCCCGGTAAGGGCTAGGATTTTTTCATGTGGGACTTCTAGTAATTCCCCCTGGTCTCTGGGTAGTCAGATCGGACGCCTGTGTGCATTGTTGCGCACGTAAAAATCCCTTGGCAGTTGGAAATCTAAAAGAGTAGCCTAACGGCACTGACCGGGCAAAATTTAGAGTTAAAAATCTACCCAAAGTAATTCAGGATCCTCGCCGGTGCTACAGAACCTGTGCACCGTGCTGAGCTTCTTCTGACTCAGACTTGAGTTAGAAGAAGAACTTACAGGTTACTACCCGTGTGCCATGATGTTGATCCGTTGTTCAAAACCTTAAAAAAACTTGAGTGATAACCTTGAAAGCAATGTTTCCCAGCCTCTCTGCTGTCAAGCAAACCTGACCTGGCAAGCTGCTACGGGATCCCGACTTCTGGACAGTCTTCAGCATTTCTGGCTAGTAAAAAAGATCTGACATCCACCCACCCATGCTGGACTTTTCTTGACAGACACAGATGAACACACACTCAACATTGCTACCAGGCAACAGTCACTCACTCCCCAAGCTTAAACGTATTCAGTCACAAATAAGAGGGTCTGTGATTTCACTGTATTCCAGTGATGCAACAGAACTGATACTATGTCATACAGTACCAGTACCTCCAAGAGTAACTGAACTATCACTATAACATTCGTCTGACAATAATTTGTATGGAATTCAGCATGAGATCTCTCAATACATGACTCACATGTAGGACACATCCTTCTCAAATGAAAATTATTGATAACAAAGCAACCACAAAGGGCAGAAGTAGCTGCCAAAGTGATTAAATGCTGGGCTCTCATGGCTAAGGCCCAAGTTCCAATCTTTACTAAGGTGATGTCAGATTTCTGTTGGGGACAAAATTAACATTCAACCTGCACAATATGTTTCAAATGCAACAGCCATGTGGCCCTTAGTTCGCAGGCTCAAGATCCCCACCCCCATCACTGTGCACATCCATTTCACACATCTGACTTATTTGTATGCAGACTGTTGGTTCCTTGCCTCTCAGGCAGAGACACTTGTTCAAAGGACATACCCCAATAAGTTGCCTTTCACGACATGATATATGTTTGTTTTTACCACAAGAGGAGGCTAAGCTTACAGCCTTGTTTTCCTCACAATGGAAGGCTAAATGTGATCTGTTCCAAAAACTGATAAAGGGGAGCAGCTGGCCTAACAGTTAAGAATGCTGACCTCCTATGTAGGAGACCCAAGTTCAAATCCTCTGTAATGCCGTGGATATAAAAAAAAAATGGTTCCTGTCATTTTGTTGAAATTGTTTGTTTGTTATTTGCCTGAAAAGCCAATATTCGTCCTTCCTTTGACGTGGTCAGCTAGTCACCAGTTGAGAAAAAAAGAAGATGACGGGCCACCTCCAAGTGCTGAAATTACAAAATTGTCCACACCCAATCATTGCTCAAGTAAATCAGCAAATCAATTCATTTGATGACACTCTGTTTGGACACTTTCAGAACATGAAAAAAAAAAACAAAAAAACCATTGGGTAACTTCTTTAACAAAAAAAAAGGTGGTGGTGAATCATCTGGAAATGCTATTTCAGGATATTATTCACCACAGGCAACACTTTCTGATGTCATAATGGTATGTGACTTCACTTCTAAACAATAGCCATTGTTTTTTTTAAACCCCCACTCCAAAAAGTAAATTTCTGTAAACATTAAAAAAAAAAAAAAAAATGTATGTATATCTACAGCAGGGCTATTCAAAAAAGCTTGCTCAGGGGCCACCATTTTGAAAATGGGAACTGGCTCTAGCACAGAAAAATTATGAATACAACTGGCAATGATCCTTGAGCCACTTGCCTGCTGAATAACCCTGGCCTACAGTGTACTGACGTCATCAGGATGAGAACATAACTGTCAACATGATGAAGTAATAATAAGTACAGTGGTTAATAGGTCATTAAAGTGTATTTGCAATGATTTCTGAGATCGATTTTTGAGTAAAATTTTATTGTTGTTAAAGAAAATATAGGCAAAATTTGGGGCTGGGAACTGATACAATTTACAATTTCTTTTTTTTTTTTTTTTTAAAGTAAATTCCTATGAGAAAAACTCATTTGATATTCATCCTACCCTCCGGAACAGATTAGTGACAAACACTGGAGTTCCACTGTAATCTTAACCTGCACAGTCCACGGCGATGGCACTAGCCATGTGGCCGTAAATAATTCTCAGGCTTAAATTTCAACTTCCACCAACAACATAACATCTACATGAACACCTCAATTACAACTTCCATCATCAACATAACACCTACCTGAAAAACTTAATTACAGCTTCCACCAACAGAACAGAACACAACAGGAACCAACAGACACTGTCATACATGGTGAGATATTGAATGCCACAGTTAGAGCTTCACCAGTTGGTATCACCACTTCATTGACATGTTACAAGTTCACAACCAGCTTTATTCCTCGTTCAACATACAAACTCAAAGGCAAATAAGTATCTGATCTGCTAACTGGTCAGTTGTGGCCAAGGACTAGACACTAGTGGAGACCTCCAGTTATATATAAAAAAAATATTAAACTAAGATGACGGCTATGGTAAAAGCAATATACAGAATGCAATGGTGGTAGGGCACAAGCATGACAACAGACAACCCATGATTCACTGCCCGTTTGAGGAAGGAACAACTTCCATAATCTAGCCCTGGAGTATCAATCACAAGAGAGATCAGGGTTATCCCCAGGATGGACCGCTGGCAGTAGCCCCTCCAGTAGCGCCGGCCACCTGCCACTCCTACTGCAGTATCTGTCGCAGGCCGATCTTGTCTGGTGAACATAACAGAATGTGGGAGTGAGGGAGCTGAATGCTGGGAGCCACAGCATGACTGTTAGGGCAGGGAGCAGACAGAGCCCTCTATACCTGCAGCAAGAAGCACTGTAGGTGATTACAGCTGAGGGAGGGGGAAGAGAAGGCAGATCAGCTGCAGTGACCATTAGCTTATTTGACACATCACTTCACGATGAGAAGTACAGGCTCTAGCCACTATGCTGATCGGATACTGCAATGATGATAAACAAAAACATTAATCTGAAACATCACGACCTTAAAAGTCTACTTCCAGAAGACTGCGAACGTGGGTTCCGGGCATAAATTTGCAGCAGGGAGTGAATTTACGGGGCACCAATAAATCTACTCCAATATCTGAACTAAAGATCGATCCCAACTGATGGATGCCTGGTCTGAGGTGTTGGGAACTTCCCTTCTTGTCCCATCAAGGAGTTTTCCGGGTGGCTGCAGAAACAAGTCATGCTCCGCTGTAGAGAATGCACGACAGGAGTACTCAATTCAGGTGTGATGCCAACACAACAGGAACAACGTGAATGGCAACCATTTTTAAGTCACATGAACATCACTCAACCAATAAAATCCGGATCATCATCGCTATCATCACCATCATCATCGCTGTCTCGACGCTTCCGCTTCTTCCTTTTCTTTTTCACTGTGGGTGTTTTGTGACCGCCAGAGGCCAACAGTTTATTAGTTCTGTGTGAGGAGCCATGGCTCTTCTTTTTCTTTTCGTGGTGGTGCTGATGATGATGATGATGATCTGATGGTGTGTGAGAACTTTTTGGAGATCTTGTGCTTGATGGTGGGTGTTCCTGCACAAGAAAACATAACAATTAGTCACCAGTAAAACAACAAACAATTTACCTGCACAACAAAACACATCAATTAGTCACTAGTAGAACAACAAACAATCTACCTGCACATCAAAACACACCAATCAGTCACCAGTTAAACAACAATCTAATTGTACAAGATACAACAAAACACATCAATTAGTCACCAGTTAAAAAAAAAAAAAACCAATCTATTTGCATAACAAAACTCAATTAGTCACCTGTAAAAAAAAAAAAAAACCAATCTATTTGCATAACAAAACACAATTAGTCACCTGTAAAAAAAAAAAACACCAATCTATTTGCATAACAAAACACATCAATTAGTCACCAGTAAAAAAAAAAAACCAATCTATTTGCATAACAAAACACATCAATTAGTCACCTGTAAAACAACAATCTACCTGTACAACATACAACAAAACATCAATTAGTCACCAGTAAAACAACAATCTACCTGTACAACATACAACAAAACACATCAATTAGTCACCAATAAAACGGCAATCTACCTGTACAACATACAACAAAACATCAATTAGTCACCAGTAAAACAACAATCTACCTGTACAACATACAACAAAACACATCAATTAGTCACCAATAAAACGGCAATCTACCTGTACAACATACAACAAAACACATCAATTAGTCACTAGTAAAACAACAAACTACCTGTACAACATACAACAAAACACATCAATTAGTCACCAATAAAACGGCAATCTACCTGTACAACATACAACAAAACACATCAATTAGTCACTAGTAAAACAACAAACTACCTGTACAACATACAACAAAACACATCAATTAGTCACCAATAAAACGGCAATCTACCTGTACAACATACAACAAAACACATCAATTAGTCACCAGTAAAACACAAACCAGACACACACACAGAGTAAACTGTCAACCTGACACAGCCCCAATGTGTTAACGCCTCCCATATCTGACAGAAACAGAAGTCGTAACAGGTAGTATTTATTGCACTGCGACTATATGATTTCTAGGCTCGTGCTTGGGCCTCTGACCCGCGACGATTCCCATTTTCAAAACGTTGGCCCCAAGTAAATATAGTTGAATAGCCCTGGTGTGGAGGAACAGGACACCCGGTGCTGCGGAAGATGCAGTTAAATTCACACAAGCACAAGTCTCGACTTCTGGGATTTAAATACACACAGGTTGCTTACTTCTGGCACAGATTGCTGGCACCTTTCCATCTTTCCAGACAACAGTCTTATACTATGCTATGGGGAGGCATGGGAATCACAGCCTATGGTGATGGCAAGTGTTGACTAGCAAGACCTGCCCATGTTACGAAAAGTCTGCACAATGAGAGGCATGGGATTTCAGGACCATTGATGCTATCAAATGTATTTAGTATTCTTCTTCTCAAGCAGGGTTGCCATATTGGCATTTTTTATGCCAGATTCCACAAATCTGGCATATTTGAAATTTAACTGGCATAAGATAATAAACTGGCATATTTGGGTTTTTCCTGGCAATATAGACCTACAGTTAATATCTTTATTTCAGTTTGACTTTGTTGTGATGTCCTGGTACGGACTAATGGGGGGGGGGGGGGGTGGTGGTGGTGGTACATTGGAGCACACACAGTTGCATAGAACTAAATGTTCATGCCTAAAAAAAAAAAAAAAAAAAAAAAAAAAAAAAAAAAAAAAAAAAAAAAAAAAAAACCTTATATCGCCTGCACTTAAGGATGACCTTACTGATGCTTTTCGGAACAAGAAAAATGCCATCATTATAGATGAGTTGCAAAGACCTAATCCCATCTGAGAAAATGCTTAATGATTTAACATTCAAAAAGGTTTACGCTGTATCTTCCACTGGTTCCAGTGAGGATGACAGTGAAGAATTCAATCTAGAGCTCTTGATGTGAAGTGAGTACAATGTTATACTTTATTTGGCATTTTTCTGGCATACTTTTTGTAATGGTTTAGCATAAAATAAAGTTTTTTATCTGGCAACCCTGTTCTCAAGACACTCAGCTCTCAACCCATCTGCAATCATTTTTTCCGTTATTCCCATTCCCTTCCTGATTTCTTCATACCACTCAACACAGCCCAATGCTTTGTTCCCACAAATCTACCTCAATACCTGTATTATTCGTGATCCGCTTGATCACGGTGAAGCACGTTTTTACCGTCTTTGAGGTCAAGACAAGCTACATGGAAACATTAGGCATAGGCAGATTTGAATGGCTGCTGCATCGAAGCAATACCCACTGTGCAGTGCCATTGACTGTGATAACATAACAAGGCCAGGTAGACAAGACAATACTCACTGTGCAGTGCTGTCGACTGTGATAACATAACAAGCCCAGGTAGACAGACAATACTCACTGTGCAGTGCTGTCGACTGTGATAACATAACAAGCCCAGCTAGACAAGACAATACTCACAGACATTCCTGAGGTGGTTGTGTGCTCCCCATTGGCTGCATCTCCACTTCTCCCAGCCTCACCCGCATCACTCAAGCGGGAGGGAGATTTGTTGCTACCTGGGGCGGCACGACCAGCACCGTGTCCCTCATCGCCACTGTCCTCCTCATCAAGTGGATCTATGCTCATTATCAAGTCTCGGAACTGCAATTGAGAAAAAAAAAAAAAAAAAAAAAATAAAGACAGTCCAATAATTAACAAGCTAATGAAAAATGTATCTCAGGATAATATACACACACTCAACAGGCATACTTTGAGGGACACCCCCAAAAGATGTGTCAAATGTTATTGATACAGTAAGATGCAGGAGGGTTAGAGTAAAAAGATAATGAGAGAGAGAGAGAGAGAGAGAGAGTAATATGCAAAATGGACACAGTAAAATGAAGAATGGATAGAGTCAAGATATAGTATCTGCAGGATGGATACAGTAAAATGTAGAATGGATACAGTCAAGAGGTACTCATAGAATAAGCAGAATAAAGCTGGCAAGTTACCTCCAGATAATCATCAACTAGTTTCTGTCTCTTCTCATCCTCTGTGCGAGTATCCTCCTCCTCAAAGACTGAGCTCAGGACCTTTAGGGTGTGCTGTGGCTCAAAGTTTGGCAACGTTTTCCTATTCAATGGCTTCTCATAGACTTTTGCTGCCTCTGTAGGGGAATACTTGTGGATTTTGCTGGAGAAATAACAAAGTATATACAGTATTGCTGTCTGTGATGAGGTAGGGAGACAAGGAGGTGCACAATGAAAAGAGATAGACAGAAAGAGAAGGAATCATAAGGAGCAGAAGCATAATAATCATACAGAGAGAAAGAGAGAGATAGATAGAGAGAGAGAGAGAGAGAGAGATAGATAGAGAGAGAGAGAGAGAGATAGAGAGAGAGAGAGAGAGAGAGAGAGAGAGAGAGAGAGAGAGAGAGAGAGAGAGAGAGAGAGAGAGAGAGAGAGAGAGAGAAAGAGAAAGAGAGAGTCAACTTTTTTTTTTCAAGTCACAAATTGGCCAATCTTACATCTGGCCCTTCCAAACAAGCATCTTTTACACAGTAATTGTATTTTATCTGTAAAGCACATTAACAAAATACATGAATATCAAGTAAAATAAACAAAAGCATTAGTAGTACATGCATACATACACTACACCCATACCCTAGAGATACATACACTACACCCATACCCTTGAGATACATACACTACACCCATAGAGATGTTAACCCTACCAGACCGCTGGCCCGATTTTCTGGGAATTTCTTAACCTGACGCTACACCGCTGGCCCTAATTTTTTAGGCTATTTGCGTAGTATGTGAAAAAGATGCGTCACAAACTAAAAATAACTAGCCAATCGTAACCAGATCTCGTGGATAGCTTTCCTAGATGTCTGCCTACGTGAAAAAATTTGGAAAATTCACAATAAAACGAGCGGCTGATGAACCAAGCACTTCGACAGGAAAGTTAAGTAGGTCTAGGCTATTTACAGTCCAACAGGCGATCAATACTATTGGCGCTAGATAAAAGATAAGCCTATTTTCTACCATGTCTCCAAGTTTCATCTCATTCTAGCCACTTGTTTGCATGTAACGATTATTTTTGTATATCATGGTGGTTTTTCTGCGTTAATGCCTAGGAACGACACCTTGTACTAGATTCATCGAGAAACAGCAGATCAAGTGGTTTGGCCATCTCGTTAGAATGCAGCAAGATCATATACCATCACAAGCACTACATCTCAGAAGACCAACTACAAGAGCAAGAGGACAGCCGTGGAAAACATGGATCGACAACATTAAAAACACTCTACGCCTTCATGGCATGACAATAGCCAGTGGCAGCCAATGTGCACTGGAACGCAAATTATTCCTCCCCACGACGCTTAACGGCAGAAGTGGTTTATGATGATAATGATGATTGCCTAGGAGCTCAGGTATAGGGGACAGTTAGGTTCAGGGCCTCAGGTCTGGTAGGGTTAAGAGGAAAAAAGGGAAAAAAAAAAGGGGGGGGGGGGGGAAAGAGTGTTTCAAAACAAAGTTAAACCCCAGCCCAAGAGCTGCCATTCTGCCCAGATGTTTGGAAACAGCCACCTAACTTAGAATTGTCAGCCACAATCACAGCTAAGACCATAGTTGCGGGGTGACCAGGAGAAAGTGAGGAGATAAAAGTTGGCAGAGAAGTTGGCAATAAAAGCAGAATTTAAAGTGACAAATAAACCAGATAAGTCAAATATGGGAGTGAGCTAGAGACAGACATCGGTACAAGTGGATGGATGAACAGCAGCTGTCAGGATGGATGAGACACAGAGTTTTAGACACCGCAGATAACCTACATACTGGAGACGATTAATTAGTGATTGATATCTAGTCACAAAATGTTGCATGTTATTTTTATAACCAACCTGGTTTGCAAGAAACAGAAACATCAGTGACAACTCACTCCTCTATAAGGCCGTACAAGGCAACAGAAATATCAGTGTAACTCACACCTCTGTAAGGCAACAGAAATATCAATGACAACTCAAAACTCTGTAAGGCCATACAAGGCAACAGAAATATCAGTGAGGAGATAAAAGTTGGCAGAGAAGTTGGCAATAAAAGCAGAATTTAAAGTGACAAATAAACCAGATAAGTCAAATATGGGAGTGAGCTAGAGACAGACATCGGTACAAGTGGATGGATGAACAGCAGCTGTCAGGATGGATGAGACACAGAGTTTTAGACACCGCAGATAACCTACATACTGGAGACGATTAATTAGTGATTGATATCTAGTCACAAAATGTTGCATGTTATTTTTATAACCAACCTGGTTTGCAAGAAACAGAAACATCAGTGACAACTCACTCCTCTATAAGGCCGTACAAGGCAACAGAAATATCAGTGTAACTCACACCTCTGTAAGGCCTCCCCAAAAGCATGTCGTAAGAGTCAACTAACTGGGGAGCTTCCTTTGAAGTCGGAGTGCATCTGCCGGAGAGGCAAGGAACCAACAGTCTGTATTCAAGAGAATGAGATCTGTAAAACTGATGCACACGCAACACTCAGGTTCTGGAGCAGGACTGCAGTTCAGTAATGGACGAGCAACCAGAACTTTCCGCCAAAGTGTACAGCTGGTGAACGTAAAGAAAAAGAAGAAGAAGACTCCTCTGTTAAGCCACACAAAGCAACAGAAATACCAGTGTCAACTCACCCCTCTGTAAGGCCATACAAGGCAAAAGAAATATCAGTGTCAACTCACCCCTCTGTAAGGCCGTACAAGGCAACAGAAATATCAGTGACAACTCACTCCTCTGTAAGGCCATACAAGGCAACAGAAATATCAGTGACAACTCACTCCTCTGTAAGGCCGTACAAAGCAACAGAAACAGTGGCAACTCACACCTCTGTAAGACCATACAAGGCAACAGAAATACCAGTGACAACTCACTCCTCTGTAAGGCCGTACAAAGCAACAGAAACAGTGGCAACTCACACCTCTGTAAGACCATACAAGGCAACAGAAATATCAGTGACAACTCACTCCTCTGTAAGGCCGTACAAAGCAACAGAAATATCAGTGACAACTCACTCCTCTGTAAGGCCATACAAGGCAACAGAAATACCAGTGACAACTCACCCCTCTGTAAGGCCATACAAGGCAACAGAAATACCAGTGGTAACTCACACCTCTGTAAGGCCATACAAGGCAACAGAAATACCAGTGACAACTCACCCCTCTGTAAGGCCATACAAGGCAACAGAAATATCAGTGACAACTCACCCCTCTGTAAGGCCGTACAAAGCAACAGAAATATCAGTGACAACTCACCCCTCTGTAAGGCCATACAAGGCAACAGAAATACCAGTGACAACTCACCCCTCTGTAAGGCCATAAAAGGCAACAGAAATATCAGTGACAACTCACTCCTCTGTAAGACCATACAAGGCAACAGAAATACCAGTGACAACTCACTCCTCTATAAGACCATACAAGGCAACAGAAATATCAGTGACAACTCACCCCTCTGTAAGGCCATACAAGGCAACAGAAATACCAGTGACAACTCACCCCTCTGTAAGGCCGTACATCTCCTTCAGATGCTGCTTGAGGACCAACAACAGGACACACCCTTCAGACAGACGCATTACATCAGACAGAGGTTTGATGTTCTCTGGAAGCTTGTCTAAAAAATAAAAACAATTCCATTATATACCGTACTGACAACTTTACTTTTCTTCTTCTTTACGTTCACTGGCTGTAAACTCAGGTGGAAAGTTCGGACTTTCGTCTTATTCGGAACCTGAATGCTACGAGCAAATTTGTTTTAAATATCTGACTTATTTGTTTGCAGATTTGGTGTCTTGCCTCTTGGGCAGATGTACTCCAACTTCGAAGGATGCCCCTATTTCTATGACATAGTTGCTGGGGAGGCAGGGGTCTATTCCTGTTTTCCCTACAGTGGGGTTTTGGAACCCAAGTGGGAAATGCTGATTCCAATACAGCCAGAAATGTAAACAACTTGGCAACCTAGCCAGTTATAAAACTAGACAAGCAAACAATAGCCAGAGACTATAAAAACAGTTCAACTGAAACAATATAGAATCTGCAAACGAGCTCGCAAACAGAGACAAACATACACACAAAGCTACCTGGAAGTCGTAACAAGCAATCAACTGCACTAATGTTCGTTAAATTACCTTCTTGTGTAAGCTACTAGGACATAGCTATTCAACAGGCAGGCTGCAGGCCCAATCTGGCCCGCTGAATCCTAGCAAGTGGCCCACGCTTCTGGGTCCTTATTTTCCAATAGTTTGGTATCATAAGTAAACTTATGGCAATGTACTAGGACATGGCTATTCAACAGGCAGCCTGCAGGCCAAAACTGGCCCGCTGAATCCTAGCCAGTGGCTAATGCTTTTGGATCCTTATTTTCCAACAGTTTGGTAGCCCTGCACTAGGACAACAGAAAATGAAGAAGACTGTGTGCCAGAACCCCCCTCTTAGAATCCATGTCTGTCTGTCAGTCTGTCTCTCTGCCTCACACTCTAAACTGTTTTGTGTTAATGAATGCACTGATTTGAAACTCCACACCTGCAGACATCCGATGCAGCAATAAGTTGACTCACACGCTTGTACAAATGTTATGAGATTAGCAGAAAATAAATGAAAACTTTTGTTTTGTTTTGTTAGCAGACATAATTTTAAAGGTGGAATATTACATTTCTACATCAACCTTCTGTTTTCTACTGCATTTTCTATGTTCACTGGCTGTAAGCTCCTGTCTGTTCGTCCATGTGAACTTTGTTCCAGGTCCTTAGTTTTACATGTACGTCCATTTTACTGACTTATTTATGTGTAGTTGATTGTTCCTTGCCGCTCGGGCAGACACACTGTGACTTCAAACGAAAGCTCCCAATTAGTTGGCTCCTAGGGCATGCTTTTTGAGGAGTCAGTGGGTCCCTGAACTCACATGGGACAATCTTCTGTTCAATAATGAAGCTTTCCAATTGCAATAAGTCACTTCCTCATCTGGAAAGTATAATGGATATGTTAACACTTACGCATTTAAAAATGGCAACAACAAATCCTCTATGGGACAACACTTACGCATGATGGATTCGGGATTATCATCATCATCCTCGTCTTCGACCATACTAGCATCACCATTAGGGAGATTCTCGCCGTCGACACCGTTGTGCACACCTTGACTGTGTTTGTGAAGTAGGTTCTGAGGACACATTTGTATGACCAGCACAGGTTACTAACTGACATAAGTGGCACCTCGGTATTTGTTCACTTTGGTTCAAGTTCAACTTGGTATACGTTCTGATCAGACATGAAAACTATTGCTTGTATTTCAACCTCTGTTTAGAGTACAATCTTGTATGAGTCAAAACTAGTCGCGCCACAATGCACTATCTTCGCTAACCTTCCTCAAGACAAAACCGCGGATAGATGTCAATGGCTTTGCATAGAAATATCACTGCAACATAAACCAAACAAGCCGTTAATAGCATTGTCTGGAGTAACCAGACAATATCATATTTCCAAAACATCACGAGGAGAAAGCAGAAGCAAAGTTCTTTGGGAAGATGTTTAGTAAAAGTCAAACCTGATGAGCTTTAACTACGTCCAAGTAGCGAAAAGAGAAAAGAAAAAAGAAGATACAAAACACAAGAATGAAAGATTCCTGAAGTTACACTAGAAGATGATTCTCCTCCTAATCAATAACATCTGCTTCTTCTCCCAACTCAGTACCAACAAACAGCTGGGAAACGATACAAGTGGGAAGAAAACATCAAGACTTGGACAAACAGCAGTCTGAGAGAGTGTACAACCAAGATCTGAGGAAGAGCCTCTTGGAGATCCATTGGAGATGGCACCTGGTTGACTGCCGATGCAGTGGCAAGTATTCTTTTATTTACAATCAGATTACTGTCTAACATATACCAAAAGGTATCATGTATCACACACAAAAGTAGCAAAACTATCATAATGATGTGTTAACATAGATAACAAATCTGTCCTGATAGCTATTACACATCAAACAGTTCATATGGATAACTGCTGCAGTTATGTTCATGTGGTGGACTTCTATGTTCAAATGTACATTCAGCATAACATCTCAGATGGAAAGCTAGCTTATAATTACAGTATCTTAGTCTTCTTCTTCTTCTCCAATCCTTCTGGAAGAAAACTTATATCATGAGGCCGGTAGCCTTTATGAAAGCTACCGTGCAGTCTTTATCCCATCGTGTACCATACAGTTTCCCTTTTATTGTGGTTGGATAAGACCAGATTGCATCTCTGCTGTCAACATACAGTTGTCAGTGTTAGAGCACTTGCTCAGCATTTTTGGGTGCCACGCTGCAGGAACATGTCACCGTGTTTCCTACGCTGACAAATGTGAACATATGTTGATGAAGTCTTTTGTGCCATGTACTTAGTCTAAATATAATACACTGTGCATCTCTAGAGAGGCAATGAAGGTAGTGACAGTTATAAAATAACTAATTTTGCAGCCTTCTTACAAGTTTTAACATTATATATCCTTAATAAGAATAGCTCTCTGAAAGCTTATTTGCTGGGTGTGAATTCTTCTGAGGGACTGGATTTTAACTGTCAAATAGCATGTGTTGGTGGTCAGGTAAAAAAAATTAAAAAATTTTTTTTTTTTTTTTTTTCAATTAAAAAACAGAACTTGATTCCAGTGGAGTAAGTTTTGCATAAAAACACCTTAACTTTTTAAGGATGGCTTGCCACTTTAGTTGCTTTTGAATCTTTCACGTTCAGACAAAATGCACTTTTAGGGCTCTTCAGAGAGACATTCTTATGTTGTTTCGTATGTATGAGCATGTTTTGAAAAACTAGAATTAGCCAAAGGAAGTATTATCGCTTTCGAAGCCTGGTGAGGCGGCAAGCTAAGCAATCAGTAGAAAAAGCATGACCAATACTGGAACTGTGAATCAGCAAAGAAAGAAAGCAGACCCTTATTTAGCATAGCACAGAGACTGACTGGGATCAGGTCAAGGCTGTTCATGTTTTCTCTTAGTGTCAAGACGGGCTGGCACCCAATGACCACAGAGATGAAGGACTCAACAAGCTACATAATTAATGAGAGTACCTCTCTGAAAGACTGGAGGAGGTTTGATCCTGTGACAGAGACGATGATATCAATTTGATGAATGATGAAAAGTGGCTCATCCTGGGCCTGGTATGCGAAGTAGGCCAGGTTGTCAGCAATGTATACCTGCTCCTCCAGGGATATCCTCTGCAATAAATAAATCATGCTTCAATGAACACAAACGACTAGCCAGTAACAATTATATAAACTAGTGTCCACGCCTTCAGACTTATTGGGAAAATAGGGCTAGATCTATATTTTATAGACCAGTTGGCACTCGGTGGGTTATGTGGTCAACATCAAGCTGGCCGCCTTTACTTCTCAGGACTCACCTGGTACCTGTTTATGGCTGGGTCGACCCGAGAGCCAAGGCCATTAAAAAAAAAAAAGGTCTGGCTCCATCAGGATCTGAATCTATGGCCTTTTGATCAATAGACGAGTGTCTAACTGCTGGTAGTCTGAGATTCAGCTTCATAGCAAACGGGTCACCCCATCTTTGCTCCGCTCCTGTGCCAACGGAAAACACACTAGCTGCTACAACAAGGTGTCCCCCACCCCATACCTTACAGCTTACTGGTTATATGGTGCTGTCCCCACTATTTGACAGTGACTTCACAGAACATTTCCTCATAGCCAGTGTAGGCTGGGTTCATCTGGAAGCTCAGGCCAATAAACAAAACTGCGTATCTGGCTTTATTTGTGTGCAGACTGTTGGTTCCTCGCCTCTTTGGAAGATGCACTCTGACTTCAAAGAAACACCCCCCATTAGTCAAATCTTATGACACACTTATTAGTTAGGCAGTGGGTCTATTCTTTATTCTCATATGGGGAAAGAGTTTTAATTTGTCTTGTTTTCTATCTCTGTATCCCTCTATTAGTTGGCTACTCTTTTCCTTCCTTCTAAGTGATTCACAGGAGTCTTGATACTACCAGTCACATCCTCATATCATTTCCCGATTTGTTTTCCCGTGCATATTTTAATGGCAGTTTCATATCCGTCTGGCTTTAACTCAATGAAAGTGACAGGCACGATTTATTATTAAACTAATGTAAAATTACATATAATTAGTATTAATCTTGGGGCAAGTAACAACAAAACAAAACACCAGCAGCTAAGTAAATGGATAACAGCAGACTGAATGTGTCAGATACACAACAGGACAACCAAGTTATTTTTAAAACCAACTACAGATAACCTCTTGCATTAAAAACATCTAACATCCGGTAGGCGCATGTGGTAATGTTGTTTAGTTATTTGTTCATGGCAAGAAAGGTCCCAGCCGAAACGTCGATTTGTGCACTTGGTTCTGCTTCCCTAGTTCTCTCAGCTTTTTAGTCACAGTTCACTGGACTAATTAAATACATATTTCTTACACGTTGGGTAGAACTTAATGGAATATTTGGCTCTGAATATGAAACTTAATTATGAGAAAACAAAACATTCAAGTAATATCACATAAGAATGAAGAAAATAGCCCAGGCAGCCTAGCATAATACACAAGACACCTGATCCTTCATCCGCTGGAGGCGGTCAGTGAACTGATCCTTGCAGGTAAGTGAACTGCACACACTACAGTTACAGTTCACACCTGATCACCGGAACTCACCAGGGACTCAAGCAATGGTTCTTATCCAGATAACAGTTTAAACAAGAAACATTGCCAAGGATATACAAACTGCTTTTTACAACATAAACTAGCCACACCCAAGTTCATTTAAGCCGTCTGCAGTGTATAGGGAGAAGAGAAAATGACAATGGTTAGTTAAGCTGTAGCTTCCACTTACAGCAGAATCATCAAATAGGTTGAGGATTGACGTCAGCAGACCCCGCCTGTGAGATCTGTTGGGGCGCAGCAACGAGTAAAGGAATGCATTGAGTGCTTGGGGTTGATTTTCTTCAGTCATTCGCCGACCTCTGACTGCTTCCACTGGGTTACTGCAATGGAACACTTTCTGAAGTCTATAGGAGGCTTTCATTCCCTGAAGTGCCTTCATCTGAAACAAACAACAGAGGTAACATTACTGACACACATTATTAACAGTAGAGGACCCTTTTCCTGTCTCAAAAGTAATTTACATCATAGTCAAAAAAAAGGTAAAGTCGGGAGATGTGAACCAGTGTCATTGCACACGGTTAAAAAAACCATAAGTGCTCTGCCACCAGTACGGACAGCTGATAAGAAACTGTCTGTATCGCCGTCGGCACGCAACTCTGCAGCTACAGCGACGTTCCTCCATTTACCCCAGAGTGTTAACTCTGGTACCCAGTACCTAGAGGCTTGGGTGAACACCGGGAACCTTCCAGTTTCAAACACCGGCCGGAAGCTGCAGCTGAATGTGAAAGCAAGTCTCCTATCGACTGTGCTAACGTGGCCCCCGACATTATAGTCAAAACACACACAAGTGGTGTATCTCATATGTGTTTTCCAACATGGAACCCACTACCCATAAAAGAATTTTGTAAAGGGGGGGGGGGGGGGGGGGGGGCACAATTCAAAGATGGACTCGTCCAGAGTTTTAAGTTACACAGGAGGCATGAGAATTTTAGAAGGGCTTACGTGGGGCATGGCACCAAATGAGTTGGGAAACACTGGTTTGTCTTGTCTGTATTCTAGGACTGACGGAGGACATGACCAAAACATTTTCAGTTATACTGTGAAAGAACAGACAACAAAACTTCCTCACCAAGTGTATCTGTAGCAAAGGTTAGCAGTTCCTGTCCCAAGCCTTCTGCTAAACTGCCACCATGTCTTGATCTTACCATCATCATCATCATCATGTAGCAGGTCCTTTGCAGAACGTCGCTCTCATCACAGTCTGCCTGAAAGAAACTCGGTCTCTTGCCAGTTCTCCCGCCTCATGAACTTTCACACTCAAGGAGTCACTTATATCCTGTGCCCATCTTCGTGTCGGTCGGCCTCTGCCCCTCCTTCCTGGTACCATGCCTTCTGCTATAACTTTTTCCAATCCGTTGTGGCGCTTGATAGGACCAAAATATTTCAGCTTTCAAGACAGGATGCTGTTTATTAGCCAATCTTCCTTGATGTTCAGATCTTTTAAGGTGTCAATATTTCTCATCTTCTTTGTCCAAGATATTCTGAGAATCTTTCTATAACATTTCAGCTCAAAAGCCCATATTCTCTTTCTTAAGGACTGAGAGATAGTCCACGACTCACATCCGTATGTAGCCACAGGGAAGATGCATGCTCTCAAAATTCTAATTTTTATCTCCTTGCTGGTGCTTAACCATAGACTTTTAAGGCTGTTCAATCTTTGCATTGCTATGGCCATCCTCCTTTTAATTTCTGTTGAACAGTCTCCATTGTTGTTTATTCTTGATCTTACCAGCTCATTCATATCTCTCCCACATTTAAACTGTTTTACCCTCAAATTTTCAGTAGACTGTCGTCTCATGATGGACCCAGGAAGGCTAACCCAGACTGCAGAAGTTGATGTGTTGACTGAAAGGTGCAAATATCAGCCATGTTGTAAACGGGCACAACGTATTTATGCCTTCAGATAAACCAGAAGAAAATATGATAAACTATGGTACCACATTTGATTTAGAATCCAAAGGATCATTGAAAGCCACAAATCGTTGTTGGAACAAACAAGTGAAAAAAATCAACTTACGTGAGTGAAGCCTGGGTATTTCTTCTCAATCTCCTGCAGCTGCTGATCGGCTTTGATTCGGATGGCTTGCTCAGTATCAGACCCCATACTGATTAAGTAAGGAATACACTGAAACCAGATAATCGTGAGACTTATTAGATGGATGTAGGGGACAGCATTAGCGCAGTAGATAGGAGACTCGCTTTAAAATCCAGCTGCGACTCGCTACAGCCTACGACTGGTGTTTGAAACCGCACGGTTCCTGGGGTTCATCCAGCCTCTAGGTAATGAGTACCAGAGTTACCACTCTGGGGTAAATGGAGGAACCTCGCTGTAACTATGGAGTTACGTGCGGACGGCGACACCGGCGGACAGTTTCTTATCAGCGGTCCGTACTGGTGGCAGAGCACTTTTGGTTTATAACCATGTGCAATGACGCTGGTTCACATCTCCTGACTTTTTTTAAAATTTTTTTTTTTTACATACGATGTAAACTCAATAGCAAGGAATAATCTGAAACCAAAAAAATTGTCAGACTTTGACATAGAAGTAAACTCACTGACTCAATGACAGGCTGTTACTGTTCTAGTGGGTAGTACCACAGGGAAAGATAATATCAGAGAAACTCTACAACAGCACGATGTGTCTACAACAGGTCGAGGGGGCCAGAAGAGACCAGCAGAACCTTATATCTCCATCGACACCCAAAAGCAGTAAAAGAGGAAGTGAAGCAGATGGTGTACTGGATATAATTTATTGTGAGGACAGGACATAACAAGTGATTTCTGAGTGAGTATGGCTTTTCTCAGACCAATTCCAGAAGCTGAGTTGACTTTATGACTTGTGACAATTGAACAAAAAGATGTACAGGGAGTCATCTTTTCTGTTTGCTGAATAAATGGATCGAGAATTAACATCAATGCACTCGGGACATTCCCACAGGTGCCCCGTCCACTTCTTCAGTAGCCAATGAATTGTCGATATGCTAATAGTATCATTTTCAACCTGACTAAAAGTCTGTCTATGTTTCCCCTCCAACACTTCTACTCCTCCCCTGTTGAATCAGTCTTTCCCTGTGCAGATTGCCACAGAGTCTTAACAATATCTGTTTTATCATACAAATAAATAAGCTTATCACCCAGAGGTGCAGAATCAGCGAACCTATCAGTCGATTTGTTTGCTGTTGTTCCTGTAATGTTCACACAAGAAGTCCAGCTCTGGAGGTTATATGATGCTTTAGGAGCTTTGACACTTCTGCAGTCATTGTTACTGTTCAGAACCTAGAAAACAGTAGACAACTAGCAGAGGTAAGTCCCACTGGCTGTAAGTACATTGTGATAAATTCATAATTAAAGTGACCATCTTTTTCCGCAGTGATACCTCAACAGTAATGAATTCCCATAACAAGTGAAATAATCTTTGCGCATCACCACTGACAGATTTGAATGAGATACTGTTAAATCTCATGTTGTCAGCTCTATTCATACTAACTGTACTTTAGTTCGAAAAACATCCACAAAAGTTCTGAAGATGACAAGCCTCACACAAAAAAGAAAAAGAAACATACCTGGACGGGATGAACAAGTCCTTGCTTCAAGACAAGGGTAACCACATTGAGTGCAGTTAACCGCACTTGGCAGTTTTCATGGAAGAATGCCTCCATCAGCTCCTTCAGATACACCTGCATCACAGTACTTGCCATTCTGTCAGCCGAGAGAAACAAAAAAGAAAGAATTGGAAAAAACTTCAGGAAATAAAAATACTGAAGGGATTTTAAGTCATCCTCACAGAACTATGACATGGCTCTGATGCCAACCTTTCAGACCTCAGCTAACAAACTCCTTTCCGTGCAAAAAATCTTAATGGGTCATAATCATATATGCCCTAACTATTCTGCTGTGAGCAGATTTTATGATTTCATAAGTCTTCTATTCTGAAAGTTTTCCATCCTTGTTCTTGTCCAAAAGTCTAGATATGTCATCCCTTAGAAATAGATTCAGGAGCAGGAAGAGGAGAGAGAAACTATGACACCAAGCATCTGTTCAGTTTGGGTGGTAGCCCAGCCATAAAGAAGAGCTACCCGGTCCTAAAGGCCACTCAATGAAAACAAGGCAGGGGATGAAACAGCAGCAAACAATCAAGCCAAATGTTGTTATAATTTCCTGACTGATATGAAGTCAGTCAATGAAGCTTGCTACTGTTATTCTTCTCTGCAGGGAATATATCAATAGCTACAGATTAGCTAGGGAGCCGTCGTGGTGTAGCAGCCAGATGCTCACCCTGGCCCCAAAAGTGTAGGGTCAAATCTACATCGTGTCAGATTTTTAAAAAAGTCTTGGCTCCCAGGCAAAGTCATGGAAGTAAAGGCGTTGCACTGACCATATCACCTGCTGAGTGCCCTATATGCCTATGGGCAGGGAAAAGGGTCCTTTACTTTGCTCACACATAAAAAGACATAAGAGGAAAGAGTAGATGTGAGAAGATATTATACGCACCAAAAAGCTGAAGATAGAAGAATTAAAGGTACATTCGCACACTAGTTTAATGGAGACAAAATAAAATAAAATGACATAACTAGACCTCCCTATGTGGGTTGAGCTAACCAACAGTCTGCACACAGTTAAGCCAGATCTGTAAAACAGACCTGGATGCAGAACTCAAGTTCTGGAACAAGACTCAAGTCTAGAAGTAGACAAACAACCTCAACTTACCCCCACTGTTTACAGATGGTGAACGCGAAGAAAATAAAACTATACCCTAGCAAAGAAAAGAAATGTACGAACAGACAAACGGAAATGAGTACACCACGGATGATCCACACTTACCCGGACTGGACATCACCCATCTCTTTCAGGTCTTCTTGTTTGGAATGTTTCTTCCCTGAAAAATATACACACACATATACATACATGTCTGCGACCAGGCAGGGTTTACAGTGTTGATATAGCTTTATGCTGCAAGACCTATCGTAGAAACATTACCATCTATCCCCAATCACTGGTACATAAATACGTCTCACCAGATTATCACTGGCAAATAAATAAGTGTCACCAGATTATCACTGGTACATAAATACGTCTCACCAGATTATCACTGGTACATAAATACGTCTCACCAGATTATCACTGGTACATAAATACGTCTCACCAGATTATCACTGGTACATAAATACGTCTCACCAGATTATCACTGGTACATAAATACGTCTCACCAGATTATCACTGGTACATAAATATGTCTCACCAGATTATCACTGGTACATAAATAAGTCTCGCCAGATTATCACTGGTACATAAATAAGTCTCACCAGATTATCACTGGTAAATAAATACGTCTCACCAGATTATCACTGCTACATAAATACGCCTCACCAGATTATCACTGCTACATAAATACGTCTCACCAGATTTTCATTGGTACATAAATACGTCTCTCCAGATTATCACTGGTACATAAATGTCTCACTAGATTTTCACATATCTCCTGTCACTGCTACATAAATACGTCTCAACAGATTATCACTGCTGCGTTAACGTCTATCCTAAGTCATTGCTACAAAAGATCACTGCTTCACCAGATTTATTGCTGCTATTCAAACAACTTTCTTCAAAGTATCACTGTTAGATGGGCCTCTGAGGATGCAAGACCTTGAGGCACTACTTCAAGGAGACGACATCACCCATCAAGTGTCAAATGGTCTAGACAGCACATTTTAATAGTCATAGGTCTGAATCTCCAAGGAAGATTGTACAACCTGCCCTCGACATTTTTGAGAGAAGCAAAGTAGGCTGTATAATACTGACTACATCCCCTATAACTTGTCTATAAAACACACAATGCTAGTACATATTTTAATACCACTAGAGACCCTCTTGAAATGGAGTACCTGTATGTGCAATGAACACGTTAACAACTACAGGGTCTTTGTGGCAAAGTGGTCAAGCTGTTTGCCTCACGCTCTGAATGCCATGAGTTTATTACACGGACATGTTGCTGGAGCTATGGGGTTCATGATTTGTGCAAGGTTCTGGGCAGGTGGCTAGCCAGTCTGCGAAGATTGACCGAGGTGTATAGGATTAAATCCGGTGCAATCAATCCCCGCCCCGTCTCTTCAAAACATCACCAAAATTTTTAACAAACATGTGAACTCTTATAGACTAACATCAGCAACAGTTTTTCAACATTGCTCTTCCAACCTTTATGAGTTAAAATGTATTTGAATAATAAAAAAAAGAAATTAATGAGGGGCAGGGTCACTTACATTCAGCATCAGATTTTGCCATCTGAAACTCCTCTTCTGTGAGATACACCTGCAGATTTCTCAACACCTGATTGCAGAGAGAAATCAACAAAGCATTTAGTTGTAGCAAACTCAGATATATGCCGATGTGAACTTGTCAAATGTATATGTGAACATTTTATAAACAAGAACACATATTATATCATCAACTTCTTGATCTGTGATAACAAATGTATTTGTGAACACTTTATAAACAAGAACACATATTATATCATCAACTTCTTGATCTGTGATAACAAATGTATATGTGAACACTTTATAAACAAGAACACATATTATATCATCAACTTCTTGATCTGTGATAACAAATGTATATGTGAACACTTTATAAACAAGAACACATATTATATCATCAACTTCTTGATCTGTGATAACAAATGTATATGTGAACACTTTATAAACAAGAACACATATTATATCATCAACTTCTTGATCTGTGATAACAAATGTATATGTGAACACTTTATAAACAAGAACACATATTATATCATCAACTTCTTGATCTGTGATAACAAATGTATATGTGAACACTTTATAAACAAGAACACATATTATATCATCAACTTCTTGATCTGTGATAACAAATGTATATGTGAACACTTTATAAACAAGAACACATATTATATCATCAACTTCTTGATCTGTGATAACAAATGTATATGTGAACACTTTATAAACAAGAACACATATTATATCATCAACTTCTTGATCTGTGATAACAAATGTATTTGTGAACACTTTATAAACAAGAACACATATTATATCATCAACTTCTTGATCTGTGATAACAAATGTATATGTGAACACTTTATAAACAAGAACACATATTATATCATCAACTTCTTGATCTGTGATAACAAATGTATTCTTCTTCTTCTTCCTTTTCACATCCAGATCATATGAATGTCTCTGATAAACAGAGTACACCTTCTCCTCAACTTACCACCATCCGTATTTATGACCACAACAACAAATAAATAAACAAAAATACTAATTTCAGGTTGTGTTTTTGTTTAAAGTATGTACAACAGTGTAAAATATTATTATTTTTCACATTTTGTACATTATATTCATACTTAGATGAAAATTTTGTTTCATGTATAATTTGCGTCACCCCTTTGAAGGAAATTTTTTTTAGAAAAACATAAACTTTACTTAAGACCAGTTCGACTTACAGCCTGTTAGTCAGAACAGAACTGGGTTACAAGTCGAGGAGACACTGTAGTTAGTTTCAAGTTCATGAGATCCTTATGCAGTTGTGAAGAGAAAACAGCTGACTGATATCTGTGTGTTCACTGTGTCCGTTTGGCAAGCTTGCAGAAGCTAAAAAGCTTATACTAAGGCTGTGCCAAACACCAAAAAGATGTTAAACCTGTCATAAAGATGATACTTTATTCTGGTGTGTTCCGAAAGCTGTCTTAAAATGAGCTTCAAAGTGTTTCAAATGGTCAAGGTGGCATTTTGTCTACACTGTGAAGATGTCAGTCTGGCATCAAGCCAAGAAGGGAATGCTGTATTACAAAAACTAGTGACAGCACATGTAACAGAGGTCTGTGGACAGACACCACACTATATGACCAACAAACACTACAAGCCTTTAAGAAGTCCAGTTTTATATTACACAGCTTCTTTCTTCTTGGCGTTCACCTGTAGTAAGCTCCGATGGAAAGTTCTGGTTGTCCATCTACTTCTGGACTTTGTTCCAGAACAAAGAGAACATGCTTTCCCTTGATATCCAACTCATTGAAGAAATAACTTCTGACTTAAGTGTGGTCAGGAAAGAAACAAGCTCTCACCAGATATCCACTCAATCAAATCAATCAATCAATCAATCAACATGACCTGCCTGAAAGTCTCTCTTTCTTTAGCGAATTCTCAAGCTGTGTGTGTGTGTTCACAGCCAATGCATCTTCAACATCCTTTACATACCTCACTAAAATACCTTCTCACTAAAGAAACAGCATCTGACTCAACGAGTGGCCAGGCAGAGAAAAGAGCTCTCACCTGACACCTCAGTTTCACTGATGCAGAGTTATCTGTCAGCAGCTTGACGTACAGGTCCCTCAGCACCGGACCCAACATAATGTGATAGTGCCTGCAGGCAAAGAAGCCTAGGAGTAGATAAGATGACAACAAATCATTGAAGATTATTATGGAGCTTGTGTTGAAGTACATATGATAATATATCCACACTGAGACATACACAATATACACACAACTTACCAATGGCTGTCAAAGCCTTCAGCTGGACCTCCTCATCTTCATGGCCCACAAAATAGGACAGAACATCAAAGACAGTTTCTCTAACACACATCTGCAAAACCAAAAATTCCATGCATGAAAAATATACAAAACAGATGCATAAAACACAGGCATGAAACATTAGCAAAATACTTTATGAATCATTTACGAATCTAATACTTATAAATTACAAATCAGTCCTCTCATTCCTGGGGTATGGAAGCGACTAACAGATTTCTTTCTTCATTTATGTCACCCCAGAAGACAGGGATAACACATCAAAACTGGATAACCATGCCAAGACTGTTGTTGGCAGAAATATAGAGACTAAACAGAATATAAGGAATGTAATGGAAATACAGAGTTCAGGAAGAAAAGGAAACAAATTCCAATAAATCAAGGGGTGAGGAAAAGATGCTGCTGCTGGACAGGACACACAAAGAGGAAACCTGATAAAAAGAAAGGATTGCCAGGAAGTGACAAAGATCACAATCAAACATGTCATGATCTTGACATCCAAGCCTTGCAAACTCAAGTAGATCAGTCACAGTTACCATATTCTAGACATGCTTGCAGAATGGGAGATAACCGGCCACCATGGCCGGCTAGGAACCAGACCACCAGGGTTCGCTGGGGATGACATAATCTAACAGTCCTTGACTGAAAGAGGACTGGAATGGAACAAAGCCAGAGAGAAAACGGCACATAGAAAAGTATGGCGATCTCTCTGGCAAACCTCTAGAAAAGGATTGATTCAGTAAGAAGGACAGAAGTTGGGACGGAAACAGTACTGAACTAAATCAAGAGACAACAGACTGAATATATGACATATGTCAAGACTACCAACAGATAGGGCAACAGACAGCCCTGTTGCTCAGACATAATAAAAGCACAGCCAGAAGTTGAAGACAATATCAGAAGCCGTAAATACCAGCCCAGAGAAGAAGTGGCACCTTACTGTGAAACCCACAGGTATAAAGAAATAAATTAGTGACTTAAAACACGAGATGCCAATCAGAAACCTAATACAGTGACAATATAGTTGGAGCTTCAAAGGTGGTAAAAGGCAGCATGGCTTGGCATAAGCTCCAGACAGCCTACATACTCCAAAGGAAAACAACAGACAAAAGAATGCCATCATAGAGAAGCCCAATGGAAAAAAAAAGCACTTATTATGAGCTCCTTTATGATTATTGCAAAAATGTTAAACTAATTTAAGAAACTGTGTTCCAAATACAAAGCTTGATATGAAAAATAAAATGATAGCATCTTTTACTGTTTGAAACCGCAATAATTTATTTATGATCAGAATCTGCATTCTAAACATCTCCTCTCTCAGTTATCTCTACCAGGGAATGGACACGAATGAACGAACGAACGAAGCTAGAACTGACCCACATCTGTCCCCCTTTCTTCAGTAGCCAATAAGGAGTTGACTTGAAAATAGTGCCAGCTGCAACCTGATTAAAACTCCTCCCCCGTATCCTACTCAATTGTGAATATGTCCCAGACACCCCCCCACAATTAGTCTTTCAATGCATGGATTCCCTTTCTGTTCTACTGCCCTGTCCACCTGACCCCATAGAGCCTTCATCACTTCCACTTTATCATAAAGCAGCGCACCACCCAGAGGAGCGGCAGGAGCTATCTATTGCTCTGCTCGTTACCTCGCACTCCTGATTGATACTAGACACCTCACAAGTCAATAAATACAAGACAGCTGAGTACACCTTACCTTTGCATCACTCATTTCTGCAGAGTCAAAATCAAAGTGTTTACACAAAAGCCCTATAGTGTAGAGAGCTCGCAGCAATGTGGGCCGTTTCTGCTTCAGTGTTGGACAGTCTCTGTTTGACTTGTGTTCTATCATCAGCCGCCCCAAGACTCCTGTCAGAAAATGTGTCATTGTGTGAGATATTCACTGTCAATGGAAATACAGGGTTATTCAAATCTTCTTCTTCTTTATTCACCGGCTGTGAATTCCGGCGGAAGGTCCCGGTTATTCGCCCGCTTGAACTTTTGGCGTTTACCTGGAGTTTTTGCGTGTACAACCGTTTTACTGGCTTTTGCTGTTCCCTGCCTCATGGGGAGATGTACTCCGACTTCGAGGGAAAGGTTATTCAAATGATTTGACATATTTTCATTCATGTGTTCCCTTGAATACACATTACACATTACTAATACACACACAAGAGAAAGAGGAAGGTCTAAAGCTTAAAAACTTACAATAGAGCTAATAGATGTTCAATATGGCTGTGGTCTGCTGCTCGGCAAACATGGAAGCGGTAGCCAAAGTCATTCCACACACAAACGGAATTAAAGGGTCCTTGGAGGCATGAGCACGTGCACTCGAATGGTTGGTTACACAATAACGCTCTAGCGGTTGTACTCTAAACTTTGACCTTCCCCTCTCTTTTGTACGTATATTAATAATAAGTAATGTATACTCAAGGGAATATACAATATATGAATGAAAGTGTAACCATCATTTTGAAGAACCCTGTATAAAGTCCTCAAAAGGAATGAGTACAGATGTCATGCTGTTATAAAGTAGCGGGTAAATTAAAGTCCCTTATGACAACACTGCCACGTTAGGCATATAGTAAAATCACAAGACATCACATCAGATCTGTGCGTAACAATATAATCACATCAACATGACCAAATCACAAGACAGCTACACACAAACATGATTCCCTAATCCAACACTCAAGGACTGGCACAATTTTACTGTACGACCCACCATCTTCAACATCCAACAGTTTGGAAATCACTAGACAAGAAAATCCACAGAAAATACAAAACAGACCATCAACAAGCTGGCAACATAAAGTGCATGCAACAACTCTTACCATAGAACTTCTTGAAACAGTCTTTGACTAGCTCATAGTTGTGGCTGACATCATTGACCACCGCCCCCAGACAGCTGATACAGCTCTGGACAACCTGCACAGGGACAAATCAACACAAATAAACCATCCTTGTCATGCCAGAAATGATTCAGACAGACAATGCTAGATCAACATTTGAATAGAGCAATCAGCACTCACAGGATGCCTTCCAGGAAAAAAAGAAAGTTCTTGCTGTCTTTTTTGACCTCTCTCGTGCTTTTGATACAGTTTGGAAAGAAGGCCTACAACTAAAACTGCTACAGGCAGGCGTTGTGCACAACATGTACAAGTGGATCAAAGACTTTCTTTTCCAACGCAGAGCCAGATTCAGAATTGATGGACACATTGGCAAACTGGCAAAACTTAGAGAAGGAGTTCCCCAGGGCAGTGCTATATCACCAACTCTGTTCCTGGTTTACATTAATGATATCACAGCAACCTGCCACCAGCACGTTTCTAATACCCTACATGCCGATGACTTAGCAGTTTGGACAGCCTCTGAATACACTACCACAGCCTCATATCTGTTACAAAAAACTGTGGAAAATGTAGAAGCCTGGACCGAAAAGTGGGGTCTAAAGCTAAATAAATCAAAAGGTACAGCATCACTTTTCTCTCTCTCCCCAAAAAAAGAAAAAATCGAAATTTGGATTAAAAAACCAGCTCATTCCACAGACGGACACTCCTACCTTTCTGGGCGTTACACTTGATTCGCGACTAACTTGGAAGTCACATGTAGAAGCAGTACAGGGAAAAGCATTCAAGAAGCTTGCAGTTATGAAAAAATTAGCGGGTACCACATGGGGCGCTAACTCTAGAATCCTAAAACAAGTATATACTGGAGCAGTCAGGCCAGTCATGGAATATGCCTCCACTGCATGGGCTGCAGCAGCCAAGACAACAATGGGAAAACTGGACAAGGTTCAGAATATGGGATTAAGGATTGTTCTCGGAGCCATGAAAACCACCCCCATCAGAGAAATAGAAAAGATAGCATTTACTGAACCACTCAAACTCAGAAGACAATACAAAACTCTTCTACAGTATGAGAAATTAAAAAGACTTCAAAGTCACCCACTGCATTTTAAATTTCAAGAGAGAACAAAAAACTGAAGCGTCAGAGCCCCAACCACCTTGCTAGAGAACTGTACAGACAGCACCAAGATCTGCTTGAAAGAGATGTTGCACTGTGCGAAAAACTTAGGCCAGAACCATGGACAAGCAAGCCAGAGAAAGCAAATGTAGTCCTAAAGGTACCAGGAATCACTTCAAAAGATGCCCAGACGGAGACACAACAGAGAACCCTGGCTCTTGCTATGCTTGATGAGAAGTATCCAAACACCACTTGGACTCAAGTTTTCACCGACGGCTCTGCTACAGATGCAGTCAGAAAGGGGGGTTGTGGAATTTACATTAAACCCCCTAGCAGTAGAGCAGAAACTCTCTCTCTACCAGCAGGTGACATCTGCACTAACTTCAGAGCTGAGGCAACTGCTCTCCTCTCTGCAGTCCAACATCTCATCACTCAAGAACACAGAGGGCACCAAATTGTTATACTTAGCGACTCATTGTCTGTTCTCCAAGCACTATCCAGCAAAAAACAAGACAAAATAATTGCTGATCTAAGGACCAACATTGGCTTACTCTCCAAGGAAGCAGAACTGGTCTTGCAGTGGATACCAGCCCACTGTGGTATTCAAGGAAATGAGAGAGCAGATGAGTTGGCAAAAGCTGGGAGTAATCTTCCACAACCTCATCCACCACACAGCTACAAGGAAACCAAAACAGCGCTAAAGCAGTCTTTCAAGCGGGAGTGGAGAAGGCAGAATGGAGATTACAGACCAGAGAGTGACAGCATAAACAAACTCAACAGGAAAGAACAAACATCAATTCTTAGACTTCGGACTGGACACTGTGGTCTTCGAGCACACTTGTACAGGATAGGCATAAAAGAATCTGCTGCCTGTGATTGTGGAGCAGAAAGACAAACCCCTGAACACATACTGCAGTACTGCCCTTACCTCTCCCAGCAAAGACTGTGGATATGGCCCAAAGGAGCCACATTGCAAGAGAAGCTATGGGGGACCGGTGGCGACCTTAAACGCACAATCCTATTTGTGACCCAGACGGGACTCAATGTTTAGCATGACTGATATCGAACGCAGAAGAAGAAGAAGAAGAAGCACTCACAGGGCGACGTGGTTCACCATCTCGCCACCACCTTTACTTCCCAGGATATTATCTAGTACCCGTTTTTAGGCTGGGTCAACACATAAGCCAATTACCAATCTGGGAACAAATCAGCTTCCATGCAGATTCAAACCCTAGACCTTTGGGCTGGTAAGTGAGTGTCTACACCAGTACAGGCGCAAACAAATTTATATGCTATCTACACTCTTTGGTAATGTGATAAAAAGGAGAAAACTAAAGAACACAGTGGCAGTAGGAAAGTTGGAGGAAAGGAGTGGCAGATGGAGACCGAGAGAAAAGATGCTGGACAGTCTGACATCATGGCATGCAGGATCACCTGTGTCAGAGTTAACTGAAAGTACACGAGACAGAAGGCAGTGGACGGACATGACTACCAACACCACATGGCATGGATTTTAAGAAGAAGGAGACATTCCAACAATGACCAGATACTGCCTCGTACTAATAAGCCTTGTATCTACATCTGTGAATCCTGGAAAATTAACAAACAAGCCATTCAATTTCTTAAGGCCTCAGAGGTGTGGTTTTACAGAAGAATCCTTAGAACTCCTTGGACAGAAAAAAAAAAAAAAAAAAAAAGAGAGAGAGAAACCCAAATGTTTCGTAAGAGGCGAAGGCCTGAACACAACTTATCACAGACAACAGAAAGAGATAGTCATGTTGTTTGGTCATGTTAGAAGAAAGAAAGAAGCTATACAAGATCATGATACAGGGCTCCAGCAATACATACTTCTATGTATGGAAGAGAGGGGGGGGGCAGTACTCATAAAAGATCATAAAATAACTGCCTTCACTAATCTCTAAGCCTTGGCGACAAACTGATTGCACACAGCAGCCTATATATGCAATGATCCCTGCTAACTGATTGCACAAAGCAGCCTATATATGCAATGATCCCTGCTAACTGATTGCACAAAGCAGCCTATATATGCAATGATCCCTGCTAACTGATTCTACTTACAAATCAAGTACATTATGATAAGTGAACAGATGCCAAGCACTTACCATCATCCCATGTTTGAGGATTAACTTGATCATAGCCTCTTCAACCTGTGCCAGGAATGACTCGCTAGGATGATCCATCAGGGGTATCACAAGTTCCAGGATGCGGGCAACGTAATGGAGTACCATAAAATCTCCCTGAGTCTGAAATGAATTCCCAAATTCAATCTTTCAACAATCATAAAATCAACAATTACTCAGCAAACTGTATGGCTTTACCACATACACACAAACTTTCAACCAGACATTTGACAGAAATGACAAAATGGAAAGGAAAACTATAACTATTCTAACCGCTAGATTCCCCATGTGGATTACACGGAGAAACAAACACACCATCCTTTGCTGCCCTAAGCAGCATGCGGTAGAAGGCGGACTTATGGGCGTTTCCTTCTATATTAGAGCATATCTGTTTAAGAGGCGAGGAACTGCCAGTTCTGCAATAAATAAGTCAGATCCGCGAAACAAATTTGCACGCAAAACTCAAGTTCTGGAACAAGACTAAAGTATAGAAGTGAATGAACAACTGGAACTTTCCACCAGAGTTTACAGCTATAATCCTTAAAAAGAACACAAGAGGATGATGATGATGAACAAGTATTTGTTCTTATTGCCGGTGTGTCATTATTACACCTGTTGTACTGATTAGTTTTCAGGTGTTTCTGCTGATGTGTTGCCATTCCCAGCTTTATGATCAGGCATATAGGAGCCATGTTACCACAATCAACCTCTTGGCCAAGTGGGCATGCCCATGCATGCTCAGTCCTGCCCATCAGCAACCATCCCCAGGTACTTCTACTGACTGTTTCTATACCAAGTTGCTTTTATGAATCTCCTAATTACACCTTACAGACGTGCTTCACCAGGTTTTTCTCTCAAGTCATTTAGCTGGATAGCTCAGTTTCACACAAGAAATAATTTTTGTTGTTGCAAATCTTCTGCCAGAAAACAGGAAGACCAAGAGAGACTCCCGGTAGAACCATTATCAGGGAGGGCTCAACTATGGGCCTAATAAAAATCCAAGACCTAAATCAAGTGGCATCGAACTGCCAGACATGGAGAACTATGTATGACCTCTGCCCTATGCGCTGCCTTAGTCTTAAGAGGAAAGATGAACTAACTAAATCTTCTGCCAGAGGTTATCTGTTCAGCATGATTATGAAATGATTTACATTTCTCCAGCATTTCTCCACAGGGCAGTAAGAAAATGTTCAGGTCTTTATCTTCCATGATTCTGTTACATAATTAAAAGTACACACATCTTGTGGATTATGCGTCTTTCCTGCGACACAAGCCGTGTGGATCAGGCAGTATTTCACAAATATTACAGAAAGAAACAGGAAAGCTTTCAAGCAAAAATATTTCAGACAAATTCTAAAATTATTGTAGATCAAACAAAGGCAAAATATAGGTTTCCCAAAAGACTGAACCTGGAAGTAAGTAAAATGGTTGGCCAAGAACACAATTTACTGAAAGGCGGAAGCGTTTGATCACAATAAATGCCAGTGGTTTATAATGGAAAGTGTTGTTCCTTGGAGATAAGACAGGAGCAGACTAAGACAAATGCGGCAAACATCAGGTATAGAAACTTACAATACTGTAAGAAAGGATTTAGGATAGCTGTAGCTGGATCAAGTATCTTTCAGCAGGCTGTGACAAAAAAAAGATGATCTGCAAGCAAATGCTGCTAATGAAAGACTCACATGCACAGTTTGCTTAAATAAAAAATATCAGCAGTTAGAAAACAGAAGAATACATACATTGCACTTGATGTCAAGGTAAGGCTGCAAAGTGGTTGCATGTTCTACCATGAGATCTGGTTTAATTTTGCTGAACAGGTGCAGGGTTGACAGACATCCAACCAGACGGCCACCGATTGCCCTGCCCTCAGTTTTCTCTGTGAATGATGTATCAAGAAATTAGTCATCAAGTTGACAGAATATGTAACAGAGATGTCATAAACACAAATTACCTTTAAGCGAGGTGCAATAATCAGCCCCAGCAACATTTCTTCTATAAAAATTTAAACAAAATTGAGTCAAGAACCAACATCACAGCACTCCCACAAGTGATCAATAACCATCTTTAGCAGCCAACGAAGAATTCTCAACATACTCTGTGATTCAGTCACAATCATGACATGTGTGTATGGCTGGGTCTCAAGCTAGCAAAAGCTGCTGTGACTGCCTCCACCTCCATTCTTAAACTAAATATTACAGTGTCATATGCCACTTTTACTATGAGCCATCTGTACAAATAATCACATCACGTGTTCGAGAACTGTCATGAATCAGTTGTTGCACTTTGATTCTCCAGCACCAGCTGGTCAGTCCCTGCACTTTCAGCCCAATCTGATTGATTAGAACTCTACACAAGTGTATAAAATGCTGTTCCGAAGCTCTGACCCACTTATCTCCCCTCCCAACTATTATCAAGCCTGCACACACATCAAACTGTGTTTTTCGCATACACCATCCAAGACTTCCTTTCTCTAGCTAGGGCCTTCCATGAAAAAAAAAAATACAATAAATAACAAAGTATCGTGGTAGAAACTTAACTTGACGGGAAATGTTATATTTTCACATACTCTAGACCAATGGCTCTAAACATTCCCAATGTTGTGACCTTTTAATACAGTTCCTCATGTTGTGGTGACCCCCAACCATACAATTATTTACGTTACTACTTCATAACTTTAGTGAATATGTGTTTTCTGATGGTCTTAGGCGACCCCTGTAAAAGGGTCGTGACTCACAGGTTAAGAACCACTGTTCTAGATCATAGCTAATGAGACAGGACAGACAGTTCCTCTCCCCGCTGCCTTTCAAGGCAAATTTAAAAAACATTATGAACATTTTCTGGAACAAATAAAACTGAGTCTGGATGGATTTCAGTGCTGTATTGGCGGGGGATAAAAACATGAAGACTGAATTCAGACGTCTGGGAAAGCATGCACACCGACTACTATGCATCTGTGACTCATGCCTCATATAAAACAGGCATCCAAACTGCTGGATAAACTACTACTCTTATCAAATAACCTGTTCTCAAAAAGGTAAAGTCAATGTCAACAGATGAGAAGGAAAAAATACATTTCCCATGATGACCACACTTACAGACACACAAGTAAAACAACTGTTGTACTCACCAACGCTCTTCTCCTCTATCCGCAGAACATTTTCTACCAAACAGTCAACTATCTGTTTGCAAGCTGTTATTGCTGATTTGTTATAGTTCCCCTCCTCATCCTTCTTCAACAACTGCAACAAACGAAAATACAGCTCCAATCAATTATTTGCTACAAAATGCCAGAATGCTCCAACATTTTTATGTACAACATGAAATTTGGCCTATTACTTGAAAATAAATTCTCCTTCTCAGTAATCACTGGCTGTAAACTCCAATGGAAAGTTCTAATTGTTTGTCCACTTCTGGAGTTTAGTTTTGTTCCAGAACTTGAGTTTTAGGTGCACAACTCTTTCACAGATCTAGTTTATGGAATCAATGGGTCTACTCCCCCCCCCCCCCCCCCCCCCCCCCCCCCCCCCCCCCCCCCCCCCCCCACTCACGAGGCCTGGAAATTCACATAGGGGAACAATAAATGGAAAACACATATTATACTTATATTTCAACAGCAATTTATTGTCATCGCCATTAAGCAGAGGGGGAAAAAAGCACTAACCATCACCACCATATGCCTATATTCACGTCTCTCTAGATTTTGGTCCCTGGCGTTCTGGATCTGTTCTACTAGTTTTTATTTGTACTGCCAAGATATTTGTGTTCTTTAAATACTATTATCTAACCTACGTTCGACACTCCCTCTATTCACGGTTTGCACCAGTCCTGACTAACTTCCTGCTAGTCGCACTGCGTATCTAAGACAGGCTATTCTTCTACCGTTGTTCAGCAGTCATATGTGAATAAAAACAGTAAATAAAGAGCTCCACTGTCACTTGGACACAGAGAATCACAGGAGAAGATGCCAGATCAAATGTGCTTGCAAACAGTGACACCTGATGGATAGATGATTAATACCAGCAGTGTTTACAGAACATTTCAGCTGAGAAACTGCAAAGTCGGTGACTTCATTCAGTAGTCTTATATTTAAAATGGGACATAAATACTGAACACAAAACAAGGGACTTACATTCTCCAGCAACTGCTCAAAGAATTCATAACTGGTATCCTTGGCTGCTGCAACCTAATTTTCAAAATAAAAATCAGTTTGAAAGTATCAGCTGCACTGTGGAGCTCAGGAATGTCTAATTAACCCACAAGACATAAATGCACAGATACTAAAAGCAACATAATTCTGACACTCCAAATCTTTGCAATTTAACGAGTGAAAATGTTCAAATTGAAATTAAGAGAATACCTTAGGTTCAACCACTCAACCGACAGTTCTTTTGCGTCTGGGTCATCAGGCTATAGGCTTTTGGGGCAACTAATAAAAACAGGCTTTCATATAACCACACGTTTCCTTTTTAGCAGTATTCAATTGTAATGAAGATGATGATGCTGTTCATGTAATACAAACTGTGAGAGATCTCTGGTGTGTGCTTCATACATGGTGGTGTTCAGTTTCCACCGTCTGCTCTATGACCTTCTGCCATGATTTCTATCTGTAGAATAGTGTCGAGCCACAACTTGTCAGCAAGTGCTGTACAATGGTGTTCCAAATGACGTATGCTGCATTCCATTCACTAACTTTTCATCAACAGAATGAAGCATAAACATATGGAAAAGAGGTCAAAAGTCGCGAGATGTGAACTAGCCTCACTGCACATGGTTATAAACCATAAGTGCTCTGCCACCAGTACTGCCATCAGCTGATAAGAAACTATCCGCCTGTGTCGCCGCCCGCACGCAACTCCGTAGCCACAGCGACGTTCCGCCATTTACCACAGAGTCTTAAATCTGGTACCAATTTCCTAGAGGCTGGGTGAATCCCAGGAACCGCCTGGTTTCAAACACTGGCCATGGGCTGCAGCGAGTTGCCGCTGGATTTGAAAGTGAATCTCCTATCGACTGGGCTAAAGTGACCCCAAATGGAACCTGTCACTGAATCTCAGGCTGTACAAAGGCCGTGCAACTCAATAAGGACTCAATCCAGTAAATGTTGGTTTGTGCATATTTAACAGTGATTTGAAGACAGATCCATGCATTATTAGTATATGCTAAAGACAGTCTTACATGGGTATCGTTAAATTAACTATAATTATACAGCGCACACCATATGACAAGTTCTGTCATGCAATCACTTGAGGAGAAATATGTGATTCTATTTTAGATTGCTTCACTTGGTGCCTTCCATACACAGATGGGGGAGAGGGGGGAAATAGAAGGGAGGAGTAGCAAGTGAGCGAGAAAGAAAAAAAGGTGTGGGGAACGGGTCGGGGTTTAACACGCTTGACAGCACAAATCAAGGAAATGAACCAAAGGAGAGGGTGGAATGAGGCAGACATTGTGTAAAGTGTATAAGATGACTAGCACTGACCACATCAGTGATATTCATGACTCTCTGAACCAGTCTGTCAGCATCCTTGGCTCGGGATCCGATGGGTGTGAACCACATGCTCTGAAAGACTTCATTGACCAGTTTCTGTAAACACATCAATACAAAATGGATTAATTTAACAATATCAGACATTTAAAACACAAAACAGATTAATTTACCAATATCACAGACACTTAAAACAAAAAAATTAATGTTTTTAACCAAAAAAATAAAACTTAAACCATTCAACTCTACTACTCATCACTAATACCAATTACTATCACTCAAGAACAACGTGATCAATACATCACATCACGTCTATCTTCTACTGCTCTGTAGTCTCATTATAATTAACGTTCTTCAGAAATTGACTTTACAGTATTGTTTCCTCCTGTTGATATAAAGCAGTCAGTAGATAACCCTTTCCATAACAGCAGCATATCGGGCATGTGAAGCTACACTGAAATTTTGTTTTCTTCAATTGGCACTCACTTAGTGATGTGTTCTACATAATTCTGGCTGCCTTTGATTCTCAGGTATTAGATGTATAGACTCTCTTGTCTGGGTTCCGAGGTCCTACTGTGGGGGGGAAAGCAAGAACACACTCACTACATTCCCAATAAGCATGTCACAGGGAGTCAAATAAGTGGGGAACATCCTTCGAAGTCGGAGTGCATCTACCTGAGAGGTGTGTAAGCAATAGTCTGCATACAAATATCCCAGAAATGTAAAACGCAAGTGCACACAACACACAGATTCTAGAACAAGAAAAAAGTCTGAAGGTGGAAAAACAACCAGAACCTTCATCTGGAGTTTACAGCTGGTAAACACGAAAAAGAAGATGTAGAAACGACTTAGTTTTCCTTAATACCCTATTGGTGTACGTGTAATTCAGTGTTGATTTGATATGGACATCAACTAGGCTAGAAATCTGCAAAACGCAGGCCAGTCTCAACAAGTCATCGAACAGCCACCTTTCCAATATGCTACTGCTCTCTTATTAGAGCGGCCAAGACAAATAATATAGCATCTGTATAATTCTACAACTAAGACAGATAAGAATAACAGCCCCATTTCCTAAATGTTTTATTACTTTCAAAATAGTAAACATATTTTATGATCACACCACTTATACCGAGTTGATATGTGTGGGAATAAGAGAATGACGACACACACACAGCTGGTGAATGTGGATATAAGAGAATGGTGACATACACAAAGCTGATCAATGCGGATGTAAGAGAATGGTGACAGGATGTGCTAATAAGGGAATGTTCTCTCACACAGACATACACAGCTCATGGATGCAGAAGTAAGGGAAAGTGGACACACTCACTTTGATGCCCTCCTCATCATTGACTCTCCTGATCATCTTGACACACATCTCAGGGATCTTTGGGAAGTCACAGTGTTCTATACAAATGTCTTTGAAGATACGAATGACTCGCTTCCTCACACTGATCCCGGTATCCTAGACAGACCACAACAAGGTCAATATTAGCTTGACTGAACAAGGTCAATATTAGCTTGACTTTCTGCTCCAGTAAACAAACAAAACTGTGATACAATTTTAACTATGCAAAAAAATGTATTTTTCTCTTTAGACACTGATTCTAATAAATTCAAAAGGTGCAGATTAAATATAAAAAGGTTAAAAAACAACAGTACTGATACAAACTACTTATGTATTGTTATTCAAATAAAATATTAATACAGCAAAATGAGTGCGATATTTTTTCTCTGTGTGTGTACAAGGATGGGGAAATAAATGAGAGGAAGGGGGAAAAAGAGGGGGTGGGATGGAGCAACAAAATGAGGACAAGAGAGAGAAAAGAAGAGATTGGGGAGGGGGAAAAGGTAGGTTACGTCTTTCAATGTGTTATTATTAATACACTCTATCAATAAATACAATAAAGATATTCTCCAACATGCACCGCACCTAATGAAAACTTCCAGTCACACAGATCAAGGGGAGCCACCATAGTGTAGCGGCTAGATACTTATCTGAGGGTCCTAGTTTTTAACTCAAATGCAGCGGATTCTTGTCACACATGACCTTGGCTTCCAGGTCGACCTAGCCTTAAATGGGTACCAGATGAAATCTTGGGAAGTAAGGGCAGCCGATGTGATGCTGACAACATCAAGCAGGACACTTATCAGAATCTGATTAAAAAGCATGCAAAGTAATTTGGAATAAGGTCTGGCTTAATTTAACTTAATTTACTGTACACACTTCAAGCATGACACTTACCAGAATGCGATCAGAAAGCATGTCATAGTAATTTGGAATGAGGTCTGGCTGAATGAGGATGAACTTCCCAACCAACTCTATTGCAGCTTCTCTGACTGAAGTTGACTGGTCCAGGAACCTGGCATGAACTCCCCGCTGCATGTCAGACTACAGACAGACAAGAACAACCATTGAAAAATCAGCAAGCCCCATGAAAATTTTATGGTTTCATGTAGTTGCAATCATATAGTTCTTTTTCTGGCTGCTAGGCTGCGATATCTGTACCCTTCGGCAAAGGTTTACGATTTCAGCAAATTTTTAAAGTGCCCCTTATGATGCGTTTGAGGGGCAGTGGGTTGATTCTTGTCTTCCTCTAGAAAGGGGCCCAGGAACCCATATGGGACATTGCAAGAATAGGTCAATTACTACACAGATATAGCTATCCTATGCCTGTTTGGGTTCCAGCCCACGCCTCCACTTACAGTCACAAAAATCAACTAATTGGACATTTCCCTTCAAAGTCGGAGTGCATCTGCCTGAAAGGCAAGGAACAAACAGTCTAAAGAAGAAAAAAAAAAAAAAAGGTAAAAAACGCCAGATCTGTAAAACAGATGTGCACACAAAACTCAAGCTCTGGAACAAGACAAAAGTCCAGAACCTTCCACCGGAGTTTACAGCCGGTAAACGTGAAGAGCAAGAGATAAAGTCACTCAGCCGACCAACCATCCATCTTGTATGGTGTGACACCGAATGTTTTAAAGGCCTCGCACTTCATACCAATGCCATAATTTTGACAATGGGTATCGTCAAGGGCCAGAGGTCTGAGCTGAGGCACAGAAAGATCATTAATTACAACACAAACTGGCAGTGATCTCCAGGACTCTTGCTAGGCCTCCTCGGCCCAGAGCAGGAGGCAAATAAAGGCAGGAAGAAGACTTACCCGGGCAAGTATTCCAGGATCGGCTTCAACAACCTGTGTAAGGCATTTCATGGCTTTGGTTCTCACTGCGACAGCTGTTTCACTCAACACCTTCAGGATCTGAGGACATTCAAGCCAAGCTGATGATACAAATATGCTTGTTGAGTTCTGAACAATTAATAAACAATCCACATAATTTCTGCAGATGTCGTTTCAGGGAAGAATCCTACAAATTCCTTGGACAGTGCGCGCACACATACACAAACACAGAGAAAGAGCTACCTAGATGTTCTGCAAGAGACAAGGGCCCAAAGACAACTCATCATAAATATCAGACAGATTCTTCACAGCCTTTTGTCATGGCATGGAGGGGTGGGAACACACAAACTGATAAGTGCTGCTAGAAAAAGCAGATTGTGGATAGACATGATCGCCCTCACTAGTCGGCAAGCGGCTTGATGATGATACTAAGTATATATATATATATATATATATATATATATATATATATATATATATATACATATATATATATATATATAAAACTGCTGGTCGAGACAAAACATCTAAAATGACATCAAAACAAAGAGTTTATAAAAGCAATCAAACTACAAAAACAATGGACACTGACTGAGCTAGCAACATTCTTGATGAGAATACTTGAGACAAAACACAACAATCTTGAAACCCCAAAGTAAGAGATTGCCATGCCTAACTTAAAATATTATAAAACACATTTTTTTTAAAAAACGTATCCAGAAACCATGAGTTGTAAACCCTTTGGCTCGGTACTATGGATATCGCAACCCTTCGGCCTTGATTCCATTATAGGTACCGTTAATCTGGGAGAAATGTGGCTTTTCTACCTACCCCCGGGAGTGAACCCGGACCACAAGGAGTTCATCACCCGGCCGCCGCGAAAGTCAGGTTTAACCAACTTCGCTAGAGAGCCGGGCATAAAACACATTTAAATGCCTTGGAAATTTCAGACACTTAGGTCATCAACCTAGTAAATGTTAGAAAGAAGAAAGTTGTATAATGAACGTTTCTATAAGTTATTCACTTAACACTAACAACTTGAAAGGCATTTTTAAAAAAAAAATGTAAACAACAGCACAGCACTATCTTATTTCTAGTCAGTGTTGGTTCTATCATGTGAGCGACGCAAGCAAGTTATGAATGGACAGTCAGCACAAATAATCCAGCAAATCTGCCTGTCTTCTTCTTCATGTTCACTGGCTGTAAACTCTGGTAGAGAGTTGGGATTGTTCGTTCACTTCTGGGCTTTCGTCCTGTTTCAGAATTTGAACTGTGTTTGCACAATTATTTCAGAAATCTGGCTCATAAATGTGCAGACTGTTTTTTTTTTTTGCCTCTCCTGCAGAAGTTCATTGAAGGAAACATCCTTGAATAGTTACCTTTCATGACATGTTTGTCTCTTCTGTGTTGCTCCCACTAGAAATGGGACCCCGGAACCCACACAAATCTGCCTGTAATTTCAGACTATTAATGTGTTGGTTTCAGGGTTCCATATTAGAGGAGGGGGAAATAAGATAGACTGACTGCACCAACTAACAAGCATGCCATAATTAGTGACTAATTATGAGTCTGCTGAGATCAGATGTGCTGACGAAAGGTGCAGACATCACAGCCTAGCTGTGAACCACGACATAACTTGTCAACTGCCCTTTTATGGAGGAATGCAGAAGAAGAAATGAATTACACAATATAAGATATTCTGTTGATGTACACAGGCTCAACAGTAAGGACACAAATACAAGTCTCCATGCTAACACATCAGACACAGACTGGCTGGCTTTCGTACCTGAGTGAGATATATGTCAAAACTTTGAGCAAATGGACGCTTGGATGAGAGATATCTGGCAACAAGGCATGCACTGTCGTAGTCCAGCTTGGCACCAGCATGTCTGCAAAGTCAGTTGATTGATAATAATCACAAGATATTTCACTACAAGCACAAGGAAATTTCTGATCAACAAAGGTAAACTGGTATCTATAGCTATAGTCAAGCAAAGGACCCTTAGTATGCCACTGGCATATAGGGCATTTAGTTTAGTCGATGGATCAACATCATGGCATACGGGTGTAACCCAAAAGTGCTCCGTTATAATTCTAACTCAAGCCAGAGTTAAAAGTGTCTCAGCGAGGATCATGACATACTTTGAGTAGATTTTTAACTCCAAATTTAGCCCGGGCAGCGCCGTTAGGCAACTCTTTTAGATTTCCAGCTGCCATGGGCTTTTTATGTGTGCAACAATACACTCGGGCATATGCTGCTGGACCCCTAGTGTAAGAGACATTCTATGGGGTATGTCATCTGCAGGCTCTGGGCACCACTCAACACTTGGGAAAGGGGGTGGGGTGGGGTGGGGTGGGGGGGTAATATGGACTTGTTCTAAATGCCACGATGTCAAATGTTTACCCAGACGAACCCAGAGTGTTTTGGTCAACTTCACACTGACTACCTTTTCTTTCCTGGCACCCATTTTAGGATTAATCAGCCTGGGAACTAAAGTCATTTGAAAAATAAAGAAACATATGTTTTAAAGTGGATTCAAACACAAGATCTTTTGACCAGCAAGCAAGCATATAGCCACTCTACTACCACAGCTTCCATACACTGACAAAATCTATCTAAGCAGCAACCCCTCTCTCATTTTTGTTTCCAAATACACCAATAATCATCATCATCACCAATTAGCAAGTCCTGTAAAGAATGTCGTCCTTGTCACACACAGCTCATCTGAAAGTCTCCAGCCCTATGTGCTTTCATAACCAATGTATCTTTAATGTTTAGTATCCATATCTGCAGAGGTTTACCTCCGCTTCACTGTCCTGAATGAATCTGTAACATTCATCACTGATCTCTCAAAGGCCACCATGAAGTTTAACACGGTCAAAACACCTTAGAGGACAGGATGCTGGTTTTGAGCCCACTGTTCCTGATGCTCAGATCATGGAGGATATCTGTGGTTTTTTTTTAAAACACACCCAACAATATACATTTTAGAAGCAACCCGTTACAAAACTAAGTGTATAACACAAGCAAGCAAGTCCTGGGTAGACAAGAAGCACACTTGTCTTCTACAACAAACCTCCAGGGTTGAATCCTCTGTAATGTGCATCAGGTGTTCAAGCCCACCAGATGGACAAGCAAAAGATCTGTGCCTTCTCCACAATTAAAGTTGGCTAGACTGTACCAGTGTTGTCTCTAGGAATGTAATGTGGTGAGGCCCCAACCTCTTCCATGATGCAACTCTCTTACCATTGTTCGAAAACCATGAGTGATTTTTTAAACCATCTACCACTGGGAGTGAACCCTAGTATTCAAAAATTATGAAACTGTTAACCACATTCACTAACCTCTAAGCTATGGATGGAGAGGAGAGTACCACAAATCACAACCACTGCCTTGGGCATACAAGGCTAGCCCCACAGAAACCATAAACAATGACGAGTAAGATATCAACCATGACCAATCCACATACTTTAAATGTCCCTGTGACCGGCTGGAACAGGCCACCAGTGAGCAGAGAAATGCTTTCCTTTTCTCGGTATTCTGCAGCACTTCTGTGGATTTTTCTTCTTCCATCTCATTAAAGTCCTCATCCTGGTCTTCCCCTGATGTGGTATGCTGCGCTTTCAGTGTCTTCTCTGCCTCCACTGTTGTGTCCCGGAACCACTGGGCTATGTAGAACTGTCTGGCACACTGATGGCAGCAAAGCAAAAAAACGCATGTACATCAACATTTTAACATCCAAAACATTTACACCAACATTTTAACATCCAAAACATTTACACCAACATGCAGCCTCTTGTGTGCATGTGGTGACATCATTTTGGCTCGCACTAAATAATAATGAAAACATTTTCAAATGCCACTGATCAGCTACTGCCTGCCTCAAGCTGGCCAGCCCCCGGCCACAGCCAATAAGGTCTTGCTAGTCACGGCTATGAGTGCCGTGCCTCCTCATAACACAATGTTACACTATCGTCTGGAAAGACAACAACAAAATAATAAAAATAAAAACCCTAAATAATGAAGATAAGTGGCCCCTAAACACTACCACAGTAGAAAAGCTGGCATCTTACATATTTTACACGCACTTGTCTGGACAGACTTTTTCTTCATGTTCACCTGCTATAAACTCTGGCAGAAAGTTCTGGTTGTTCACCCACTTCTGGAATTTTCCTCTTGTTCCAGAACTTAAGGGTTGCGAGCATATCTATTTTACAGATGTGGCTTTTCTATATGCATACTGTTGGTTCCTTGCCTCTCAGGCAGATGCACTGCAACTTGGAAAGAAACACCCTCTAATTTGTCATCTCCTACGACAAGCTTGCTAGGGGCAGTGGGTTTATACCCCCCTCCTCCCCTCCCCCTCCAAATGAAGCCCCAGAATCCATATGGGGAGTTTAGACATAATAACAAAGAAAGATATGGGCATCCAAATGACACAGGGTGTCCTAGTCCAGGAGTGGGGAATCTCTGGTTGTCTTCTTCTGTCAAGAGTTATTCTGACATTGATAACACCATTGACGGTCACACAAAAGACAGACCATGATGGACCTAGGACTGCAATAATTTAAACATGAAGCTGACAGAAAGAAGAAAATCTGGGCATGCAATGCATTAGGATTGACCATTACAAAGGCAATCGTCTAAACCAGCGGTCTCCAATCTGGGGAGGAGTAGGGAGAGGGCAACGCACGAGTAAGTTTCAAGGGGGGGGGGGGGGGGGTGGTGGTGGTGGTGGTGTCAATTTTGAAACAGTGCAGTTGTAATAATCTGGAATTTCTGATGTGGTGTGGTGGGATTTCAATTGTGTCTTTAAAAAAAAAAGCAGATATCATCAGGACAAAACAGTGCCAACAATCATACTGATATTTGGACACTAAATTACACATTTTCATGCATGCTAATGGGTGGGGGGGGGGGGGGAGTTTGGAGACCCACCACTGTTCTAGGCAGAAGGTACACATAATAAGATGATTCATGAAGTGGTACACAAACTGTTGCCTTTCAGCAATGAAAATATGTTAATTGCTGGACTGTTTCACATCATAGTGTTCATTGATTTGTACTTTACCATGGACATAGCTCATCAAAATCCAAACTAAGTGTGCTATATATGAAAGTTAATAAACTATGTACATTCAGGTACTGTCATAGATGTATAATGTCCAACTTCCACAGGAAATCCAGTCACTGCAAAAAGACATTTACAATTTCAGAACTCTCTTAACTACTACTTCACAAGCACAAGCAAGTAAGGCACTCACCAACAAGGCAGATTCACTCTGGGAGTTATAAGCCAGGTATTCCAGCATTGCTTGCTGTAGCTTCTCCGTCAGATCAGAGGCAGTTCTGGGCTGTGAACAAATGACACATCCATGGCTCAACATATGGCAGAAGACCAGTACACATTTAGTGTCAATCAGCAGTTTGTGACACATAAACACGGATTCAGGGCATCTTTATTTTTTTAATAATTAAAAAAACCAAACGAAAAAGGATGGTGATGAAAACATAAGGAACTATATGTAATGAAACTGAAAATGTAAGTACTGCAACAGACTACAAACATAAAGAAGAAACGGCTATCCTCCGAATAACGGTCCTAAATTATCGAGGCGGAAAATTTACCCTAAAAGGGCCTTAGTCACGTGTCATTTGTGCTTTTTCCCGTCGTCTTAAATTGCGCACTTCCGCCGAGAGTATCCCCCACGCGGTGTGGATTGGGGCTAAACTAGATGGCTGGGACTGACAGGCAACAGCTACCGCATCCCCTGCAGCTTCCTTCATTTTATTTGCTCGTGAGTCCTAGCCAGTTTAGCCCCAATCCACGCCGCGTGAGCAGCGTGGGGGATACTCTCAGCGGTGGCGGTATAGTCCCCGAAAGTTCGCAATTGACACGTGACTGAGGCCCTGTTAGGGTATATTTTCCACCTCGATAATTTAGGACCATTATTGGAAGGATAGCCGAAGAAACATATTCTAGACATAAATGCGATACAATCTGAAGGGTAGAGAGAGATAGATACAAAAAAAGAGAGGGGACACACACAGTGTGTGTGTGTGTGTGGGTAAGTGTGTGTGTGTGAGTGTGTGTGAGTGAGTGAGTGAGAGAGAGAGAGAGAGAGAGAGAGAGAGAGAGAGAGAGAGAGAGAGAGAGAGAGAGAGAGAGAGAGAGAGAGAGAGAGAGAGAGAAAGAAAGAAAGAGAGAGAGAGAGAGAGAGAGAGAGAGAGAGAGAGAGAGAGAGAGAGAGAGAGAGAGAGAGAGAGAGAGAGAGAGAGAGAGAGAGAGAGAGAGAGAGAGAGAGAGAAATATCCCACAGACCTATTATAAAAATAAAACAACTGATGACAGCCTCACCTCATTTTTCTTGCTCTTTCTCTCTGCTGCAGCTTCTTCTTCCTCATTTTCACTAACCTGCAGAGAAAGTGAGATTTCTTGTAAGCAGATACAAAACTAGTGCATACTTACACTTGCCCCCACTGCAGCCAGCTGTAACAGGCTGGTACATTACTGACAAGCTGATGCTGTGTCGTAGAAAACTCACTGACTGTGTATGACTAACATAAATAACAGTTGTGTATCCTTTTAGAGGATGTTGTAAAACCAACACCAGCATCTGTTTGGAGTTTGTGGTTTTAACAGGCAATAAATTTTATTTAGTAGTCTGCCACTGCTTTCTGAATGGTCAGCTCTGCAAATGGTAGGTCTCAGACGCCGAAGGATTACTAGGAACAATTACTGCAGGGGGGTGCACCGAAGGTGTGATGTGTCACAAGTATCGAATCACTGTTGTTTCTGTATTATTATTACAATCGCTGGCTGTCGTTGCTGGTGGATCTGCTTAAAACGGTCAAAACAAGGAACATGTGACAACCCTAGACTATTGGAGTATCTCAGGAAATCCACTATGAAATCACGTGGCCGCAAGATAGGTGTGACTTTCATGATTTGTACTGGATACTTCATCTTTGCAACATGCATCTTGCATGGCATTAACGACATCACTCCTGTCCAGTGCAGCGCCGGTCATGAAAACTGCCTAGTGTGCCAGATAATCTGCATGCTCATTGCCTGGAACACACGCACAGCCCGGCACAAGGATAAAGGTTTTGTCCATGTTATTCATAATGCATTTAATGAGATAATCCATTCATGTCTGATGAAGTGGGCTTGGATTCTTGAGCATATTCACTGAAAAACTAAACATGCACCCAGAGGAAATCGTACAGTGACGGACACAACAGCAGCAACATGCCAGTACCTACCTTTTGTACAATGTCATTGATGACATCCTGGTTCAGCTGGCTAGTGATTGCATCCTTCCTCAGTCGAGCAGCCACGATGCCCAGGTACTCCAGCGAAGCAACTCGTAGAGACATGTCTGTAGACTTGCTGCTGAACTGCTGCACCTACAGAAGAACACATAGAAACAGTTCAATATCAAACATTCACCCATTTTATCAAACAGTGGTCCTTATCTGCACAGGACTACACATTTACTAGGCTGGTGTAGCTGTTACAGGTGGCCTTATTAAAACTTCTTTAGAGGTTGAGTGGAGTGTTTGGGATCAACCATAATAATCTGCTACACAGATTTAGATTTTTTAAAATCTCAGGAGGGGGGGGAAGAAGAAATCCTTCAGCTAGCATCTCAGAGGGGACAACCCAATCGATCGATCAAACAACAACTCATGTTTTCCAGTCAATCACCTGTGTAAAAGTATGCAAGTCTCTTTTATCTTCTGCCTTTCATCTTTCAATACAGCACAGGTCTTCCACCAACTCATGCAAAGACATTTACTTGTTCACAACAGACTAGATGTTGCAGCTATTCTCACCTATTACTCCTGCCCGACAAATTCAGGATGAAATGATAAACTAGAAAACTCAAGCGAAAGGAAATCCCCTCTTTAGAGTCACACACGTTTATACAACATGTACAAGGTAGAGACCCACAGGGAAGACCTTCCCCACTCTAGTGTTACATCTGTTTATAAATCATCTATAAACAAGACCTTGTGTAACCACAGCATAACTTTTCAGATAGCTTTAGTTTTTAACTGTACATGTCATATTCCTACAAACAAATACTTCTAGATTAACACAGTGATTCAAAGAGCAACTATTCAGATGTGAATCCAACAGGAGACAATCTCAGACACCCTGTTCAACTGTATATCAGTTAGGTTAGGGCACTCGACAGTTTGATAACAAACAGTAGTCCACAGCAAGTGACTAACACATTTCGATCTGCTCTGTTCAACACACTCAGATGTAGCTCCGGCACACAACTAACTACACAAAGACCTTGAGAAGAAAGAACAAGACAGGAGATCCTACCAATATCCTTCCTAGAAGACTGAGTAGTAGTTCAGAGGCTGGCCACTCTGGCTTATTCACTGTCGTCAACAGGTCCTGGACAAAGTTCTCAAACAGATGCCTGTAGTCTTCCTCTCCTTTTGTAGTACACCTGTAAATAGATATTGTCATTGCAGCAGTAAGAAATGTGACTTTTCTGTCTTCTTTATTCATTGGCTGTAAACTCCAGCAGAAAGTCTGGATTGTTCGTCCATTAGGACTTTGGCTTTGTGCATAAACATCCATTTTACTGGCTTATTTGTGTGCAGTTGGTTGTCCCTTGCCGCTCAGGCAGATGCACTCTGACTTCGAATGAGCTCCCAATTAGTCGATTCCTATGACATGCTAGCTGTGGAGTCAGCGGATCTATTCTTGCCCCCCCCCCCCCATCCCCCCACAATGGGGTCCCACAACCCACATGGGGATAATTTTTCTGTCACAACCTAAGGGTTATCGTGCACATAATGTTTACAGGAATAGAGGGGAGTGCTGAGCAAGATGATCAACTAGGGTCTCCGTGCATGCCACTGTGACATCAGACATATGGTGCCACACACACATTTTATATGCTAATAAAAACATGACTAGTGAGGTGGTCAACATCCTGCTGCTCGACTTGACTTCCTGGGGCATTTCCTGGTACCCATTTTAGGCTGGTTCCACATGAATGCTCTCAATATAAGGAACCTATTCAATAGAGATATAAACCTAAGATATTCACACCAGCAGGTAAGCGCATTTAGCCAGTCAAGTACTGTGGTTACCACTGTATAGAAAAAACTGGCAAATGTTTCTGCTGTCTACTGCGTTGAGCTGTTTTCTAGCACTAATACATCAGCCACCCCGCGTGGGCGTGGGGTCTCACTGTTTGTGTGTATGCAATATTAGTAACTTTTCCTCCATCTTCGCATTCACCGGCTATAAGTTCTGGGTGTTCGTCCACCTCCGGATGTTACTTTTGTTACAGAACCTGAATGCTGCGTACTCTTGGTATCTTGTCTCTCAGGCAGATGCCTCCAATTAACTTTTCAGACATGCCTGCTGTGGAAGAAGTGGGTCTATATTTCATTTCCCCCACAATAAGGCCCCAAAACTCCCATAGGGACAATAATCAGAACTTCCCTAAGTCATTTCTTTTATCTGTTTCAAATACTTGTTACATCTACTGCATGTTGTAAAAAAAAAAAAAAGACAATTTCTCCTTACAAACTCTAACCCAAAACAATTTCATGAAATAAACTTACTTTTTTAAGAAGACAGATAAAAAATTGTAGCCTGTTCTCATGGCTGTCTCATACGAGGTGACAATCAACACGTCATTATCACTTTTCACCAGTGAGTTCTGTGAACATTGGTACCAATACTGATTAATTACAGTGAAGTTGTTTCATGATTAGATGTGTCAAAAATAATTTACAGCAACAGGAAAATGTGTGCATATTGTGTTATCTCAAACAAATAGCACTTGAGAGAGATATGCATGGTTAAAAGCAATAGAGACTTAAACAAATTTATTGTTAAAAAGAAAGCTCCCCCACAGATGACTTTAAAAAAAATGTATCAGAGAAATAACGGGGGGATTAGCTGAAAACACAGATGACTCGGGAAAAACCCCCCACACAGAACTGATTGGGGGGAAAAGCCACATACAAAGTTGGCGCAAAACAAAAAAAAAAAAGGTTTTTATAACAAATAACTGCAAGAGAAGGACAACAAATATACATTTTTGTAATAGAATACAGCAACACAGACATAATGCACTGATCTGCTGAACCGACTCCAACAAGGAGAAAACCCAACAGGGAACAAAACCCAACATGAGCAGCAATGCTATTATTATACGGACAATGGTGAGTAGTGTCTTGATGCACAACTGACCATCAGGACAAAGTTCAGAAGACTGACCACCACCCTCATTTCGGTGTGATGTGTTCTAACTCACTCAAAACAAAACACATCTGGGTGTGATGTGTTACTTTTCCTCATTTCCTCTTTTATCACCTCGGATGTTGCAGGGTTGTTATCAATGACCATGCCTGGCACTGGCACCATACAGAGAGAACAAGTATGCTTTGCATGAGATGTTTCTCTGAGAGTGGGATGGTCTTATGCTGTAAGAGGGGTGCTAGTTGTCCCATTACTTGGTGTGATTTATTAAAATCTAAACAATAAAATACCTTTTAACCAATGACTATTGTTTCTTTGTCACTGGCCAGATTGTATAACTGTCTGAATGTTTTCAACTGTTACAAAGCGCTAATATGACTGCACATCTTGGAATCCTGGACTGACATCCCAATATCGAAGACTGAGATAACGACAGATGTTGGGCGACTAACAAGATATGTATGAGCCCCATGGGGAGCTGATGGGATCAACTTTCAAGGACTGTGGGAAGCTCGTTCATACAAAGACATATCATACAGCACATCTGAACAACAGTCAAAATTTTGATCCTGCTGTTTACCATGCGGGTTCCAGGGAATCATTTTGGGTGGGGGAAAAAAAATAGAAGAGACCCACTAATCAAACAAGTATGTTGTTAAATGCAACTAATTAGGGGTCTCATATTGAGAAAAACAGAGGCAGATAATAACAGTAAACACAACAACAACAAACATTAGGTAAACTGCATGCAATAGCAAAAGAAAGGACAACTTGGTGTGAGTTGTTTGAGGACAAATGCTCCTTTGGGTGATAAAATGGGTTAGAAGAAAAGAAGAATAAAGTCAGCTGAAATAAGATGTTCTGGGCCGAAAGGAGCAGATATCGCAGCCCAGCTGTAAATTACAAAACAATGAGTGAACTGCTATTTTAAGAGCGAAAGCAGAAGTAGATTATGTAATAAGAAAATAACCTAATAACACAAAAAATTAGGAAGATTGGGGGGGGGGGGGGGGGGGGGGGGGTGTGTGTGAGAGAGAGAGTGAGGAGGGAGAGAGAGAGAGAGAAAGAGAGAAAGAGGGGGGGGAGAGGGAGAGAGAGACAGAGACAGAGAGAGAGAGAGAGAGAGAGAGAGAGAGAGAGAGAGAGAGAGAGAGAGAGAGAGAGAGAGAGAGAGAGAGAGAGAGAGCGCGCAATTCTGGAGATGGTCAGCAGTGGACTTAGATGACAAATGATTGAATGAACACACGTGGCACCCTGCTGCTCAGCCTAGTGCACGATGATGAAGATGGATTATTCAAGGCCAACCAACCCCATCTGTGTTTGCTGTTTTGTTCTTTTTGTTCTTGTTATCTTCTTCTGCTGGCTTCTCAGAGTCTGCCTCTGGTAGCTTCACCACACACTGGATCAGCTGTAAGGCTAAGGCAGTCACCATCTGTATGGATTCGTCAGAGTTCAACCTGCAAGAGATATGACACAATGTTTAATTCTGCAATAGATGTGACACAGTGTTTAAATCTGCAAGAGATATGACACACTGTGAAACCTGTAACAGATCTGACAACCGGTACCTGCAAGAGATATGACACTATGAACCAGTAACAGATCTGACAACCTAAACCTGCAATAAATATGACAGACTTTGAACCTGCAACAGATCTGTCAGTGTGTCTGAACCTGCAATAGATATGACAGTGTCTAAACCTGCAACAGATCTGTCAGTGTGTCTGAACCTGCAACAGATCTCAGAGTGTATCTGAACCTGCAACAGATCTGTCAGTGTCTGAACCTGCAACAGATATGACAGTGTGTCTGAACCTGCAACAGATCTGTCAGTGTCTGAACCTGCAACAGATCTGACAGTGTGTATGAACCTGCAACAGATCTGTCAGTGTCTGAACCTGCAACAGATCTGTCAGTGTATGAACCTGCAACAGATCTGTCAGTGTCTGAACCTGCAACAGATATGACAGTGTGTCTGAACCTGCAACAGATCTGTCAGTGTCTGAACCTGCAACAGATCTGTCAGTGTGTATGAACCTGCAACAGATCTGACAGTGTGTCTGAACCTGCAACAGATACGACAATGTGTATGAGCCTGCAACAGATCTGTCAGTGTCTGAACCTGCAACAGATCTATCAGTGTCTGAACCTGCAACAGATATGACAGTGTGTATGAACCTGCAACAGATCTGTCAGTGTCTGAACCTGCAAAAGATCTGACAGTGTCTGAACCTGCAACCAACTAGAAGTTCCAATTTTCAAACTTCTCAAAAGGACGAAAAAAAAAAAAAAAAAACAAGAAGATGATGACATACCTGTAGTTTCTGAGGTTCCTCTTGCTTGATGGAAGCCTGGCTAAACTTGCAAATATATCTTCTAGTATAAGCTGCCTATGTTTGGAGTAGCGGGAAAATACCTGTTTGGGAAGGAAATGATCATGTTGAAGTGACGGCATCAGGCAGAAAAGTCTCCGCTTAAACGATAGACTGTAAAAAGCTGTTTCGCCCAATCTGCTGCTATAATTATTATGTAATTCACTGTCTTTTTTAACCCTCTCAGCATAAATGGGTCGATTATCGGCCGGCTGATGTCTGGCCAAAAACACGGAACGGCCGATCATCAGTCCGATCGTGTTTCGCCTCGACACGCTGAGAAATCTCCTATTTTGAAACACTGAAAGTGATTCTTTTATATTCACTGCTGTAATAGCTTTACACATGGCGACTTTCTAGTGTTTGGTATCGAAGTGAAAATTGTTGTTGAATTTTTTAGATAGTGACCTGAACCGCTAAAAGTATGTCTGACTCGTATGTTTCTGCCCCTAAACTTGATGTTGATAAAACATTTGAATCAAGTGATGAAACTAATTCTATTGATACTGATGCAGGATCTAGTGTTAGTAATAATAGTGGCGAATCAGATAGGGACGCTGTTGTGTTCAGACCACAACCCAACCATGGCTCAGGTTATATCTACCTGAAGATGTTGACACTCCGGCACATCCATTTCTTGTGCTGACTGATGGTCAAAAACACATGGCACCTAAAGATATTATTGCTGTTTCATATATACACCTGTTTTTGACTATTGAATTGCTTACAACATTTGTAAAAAGGCTAAAGATCAATAAAAAGATTTCAAATAAAATATATTTTTGTTTTTAGTTATATGTTTCATGCATTGAAGTTGAAAATTCACATTCAAATTTTTCTATTTTTAGATATGCAAATTAGATAATTTGCATATACATAAATTAATTTTAACAATATTGTGAAAATCATGAACTTCAATCTATATGCTTCAAATAAATATATTATTTCATGGGGGTCAGAATAACAGAAATGTGTCCAAAAAAATAAAATAAAGTTATAACCAAATTTACTGGAAAAAAAAATGCTCCTTGTTTTTGGCTAGACATCTGAAAAACTTCCCATGCTAAAAGGGTTAAAATATTATGTTATTACAACTAACGTCACTACACATTGGGCATTCCCATACTTGCTCAGTCGTTCGAAGCAGCAACCACAAGCTACCTCTAGTAATGGTTACCATGAGAAGCTATAGTGTCTTCTGTCTTGAATATGAAGACAAGATGTGCTTCACAAAGTTTTATTCCTAGATCAGGCAATCATGCTAGCGTCTGAGATTCATCATTAGCCCCACAACTTAGTCTGCATAACACTGATATCACCTCTGTCCATGCTTCGTCCTGTTTACATTCCTTGCAGTGTCTTTCCCCCCTTACCATGGGTTGCCAAATAACTGCCAATTACAGTCTGTATTTACCACTTTTGTGATGCAGGCATGTGGGGGGTGCGCTGTGTATTAAGTGTTTCCTCCTGGGTCTTTCTTCTTCGACCTTAGGATGTTTAGACATTCTGAGGTTTTTATCTTAACGTAAAACAGTTTTATTTGTTGTGTTACAAAACAAAAAATTAAATATGATGCTTTGCAGGTGATCGATCCCCATGTCTCATATAGTTCTAGATAGGTCACTGCTTCTTCTTTCGTTATCTTACTGATGCTAGGTTGTAGCCCAATGTTGTAGTTTTCTGTATTTGTCATGTGCTCCTCAGGTAGCTTTGGGGTTCATCATTCAGCAGGTTTTGGCTACATCACTATATCCATCTCTTTCATGGTCTTCCACTTGCCTTCCTCCCAGATACTGTGCTGTAAAAAATATATTTGATATGTCTGCATTTTCCCTAGATGGCGAAAACACTTCACACTCTGTCAATATGATTCAGATATGGTCTTTTTTCAACTTTCTCTCTAATGCTAATATCCATAACCTTGCCACTTTTTCTGTTGTTAGTGACCTTAAGGAGACATAGCAATTCACAGGTAGTTATTTTCTGTTCTACAGCCCTATTCATAGTACACGTATGGCACCGATAGCATAAAGCATAAAGTAGGGTAAAGATGCTGTTAATCATTTGCTGTTTTACAGGTAGGGAGACATCTGCTTGTCTAAGCAGATAGTGCCCAATATGGGAAATTCTCAATATAATAACTGATGAAAAAAAAAACAGGAATGAGACATACCAACATAAATCCAAGCACTGTTTTATGTAGAAAGCTGACTTACTGTTGTGACGAGTTTCATTGCATTCAATTGTAGCTCACTGATGTTCTCCACAAAAAATGCTGAAACTCCCAACGAAGACACCTGAAACACAGCAAACACAAGTCAGACAAGATTGCAACACGACTCAGGGTTCGGGAGGCAGGCGATAAGGTCAGGGCACATGTGTGAAGGGTCATTTGAGCTGCCCTGACATATATTCCCACTTTTCGACAGCTAGTTGGGTTTCCTCCCACTAATGGATCTTTCCTTTCACTTCTTATGATGACACAGGCATAGTAATCTGAACTACTAGGTTGTGCTAAGGTATAACATTTGACTGTGACTTCTCAGAACCTTTTGCCCACCAGTGGTCCAGGATAAGAGGCTGTTTCACCACACTGCACAAGTCGCAAGAAATTACAAACAGTGACATATTTCTTTTACCCAGAATAATCAGTGAATGTGCACATAAAAATGTGACCACACTACTAGCTGAACTACCACTGTTACAATAAGTGCTGCAGCTACTCTACCCCCATGTGGTATCGCCACATTGTAGTTGCCCAGACCATCCGCTCAGACACTTGGCGGACAACTGCCTTCATCCTGCCCATAACCTGAGCTCGTTTTCAGGACCTCCAGTAGTTCAAGTATTGTTTGTGTGTACACAGTGGTAACGACATATTTTGTGTTCTCCTGGCAGTCTGATATTGACTTGATCCCCACCCCGACAAGGATCTTGTCAATGACTAACATTAGGGATAACAGTGCTAAAGAATTTGCTGTTCTGCTGAATTGTAGTTACTGAAGAATCAACTTCACACACTGTCTTCATCATAATCACACATTAAAACAAAACAATGGTATACAGTAGCAGCAGAAAGGAGGAGAAGAGAACGTGGCAGTCAGACAGAGAAAGGAGATGGAGATAACAGATGATGGAAGGAAGGCTAGGGAGAGAAACAGAGAGATATAGGAGGAGGAGACAAGGGCAGAGACAGATTTAAGTACAGAAAGGAGGAAGGAAAGAGCCAGATACAGAGAGAGAGAGAGAGAGAGAGAGAGAGAGAGAGAGAGAGAGAGAGAGAGAGAGAGAGAGAGAGAGAGAGAGAGAGAGAGAGAGAGAGAGAGAGATATGGGAGGGGAGGGGGAGAAGATGAGAGAAAATGAGGAGGAAAATGTGCATATGCATGAACAGCAATATTACCTGCAGGATGATAGTATCAGTGAGTTCCTGGATTTCCAGCAACGATGCTAAAGCACTGACGAGTTCACACATCTTGTTGTAGAATGTGATAGTGGATTTGTGCTTCACAGAACCTGCTCGGGCCCTCTTGGCTTTCAAACTACCATGATATCCATCTGAAACAACAAGCACAACATCAGTGAGACTTCAACACAGTGAGACTTCATTATGTGAACACTCAAGTAGGACCTCATCTGTCTTTTTCGTCTGCTCTCTTCCCCAGTCATTCCAATCATCTGCTAACACATTCCATGCAGCTCTACCCATATCCTCTACATCTTTCCCCTCCCATTCTCTACTTCATGTGTTTGTAGCCTATCTTTATTCCTTTGACCCTGAAGGCAAGAGCAAATTTAGTTAATTGTTATCATGTTTTATTAAAGTTTTTCTGACACCGCATCAGTGTCGTTCCTGCTCCTCTTAACTCACAAGAATTGTTAGTCCTCTCCAATATTCTCCATTCTGAACCACATTTATCCTGGATTAAAAAAGCAACCCAGGACTCTCTTATAAAGCTACTTTTGTCTCATTCAAGATCTGGTCAGGAAAACTCTCATGGGCCTCTTGTTCTTTTCTCTACTCCTGAAATGCTTCACAGTATCAGAGCAGGAAGAGATCTCTGGAACGGGCCCTTCTGTTCACTTGGTAAATAGTATTTCTCAGTGTCTCTGATATTTCTGCAGTCAATGTTCTGCTTGGTCGACCTCTGGCTCTGTTACTCCTGTATCTGTATAATAGTAGGGGCCTGTATAATGCCAATCTTGTTACATGGCCAAACCATCTGAATTGTTGTCTACCTATAATGTTGAGTATTCGTTTTATGCCAACTCTCCTCCTGATATGATCGTTGCTAAGTCGATCTTTCCTTGTTACACCTAACATAGTAAGTAAACATTTGATTTCTGTGGTGACTATTTTCCTCCTGTCTTCTGAAGACAGGTGTCCACTGTTTGACACTGACGGCAGAGCGTTGGTAAGAATATTGTGTTGAACAGTGTTCTTTTAGTGTTCATATTCACAAGCCTGTATTTTGAAATTGGGTACACATTTATAGAAGTTAAGTTAGCTAAGATGTTGCAGAACCAACCCCAGCACTGGGGGGGGGGGGGGGGGGGGGGGGGGGCGGCGGCTGTTTGTGGTTTTACTGATCAAATTTTATGTTCAGCAGTTTGCCATTGCCTCTGAATGGTCAGCTCTTAATACCCCAGTCACAATCAACACAAGATGGTCACATTTACAGAAACAGCACCTAAAAACACAAATCACGTACAGGGAACTGCATTTACCTTTGTCCTTAGGGTCGAGTTTGTAGACAGGGTCAAACTCTGGGTAGATGGTGTTGTGCAGTTGGAATTTAGAATACAAGATGATCCTCTCGATGACATCTTCTAGATAGACTTGTTTTGGCATGTTTCGTCCTGTCATGACAGCCAGGGCCGTGAGAGAGGCATCCATACTTCGCATCACTCTGTCCATAGTCAGCTCTCGCCACAGTTTAGACTCCTCCTCATCCTCCTCCTGAAAACAGAACAAGTGTGTATTTGATACAGCGCAGCACATGTTTTAATGGAGAAAGATTTCTGTTACTGGTCATCTCATGGAATCAAAGATGAGGAAGAAACAGAACAACTATAGTTACTGATCAGTAATTTATCAGCAACATGACTGAAGGCGGGTGATATCTGCAGCAATGAACCTCAAAGGCTTAGAATGCCGAAAGAGAAGGACTGAAGTCCTCCAAGCAGGACTGCAATGGCATATTTGCTGTCTGCCAAGATATTGATACAGGTTTGTTTACAGAGCAGTAACAGGGTTATTTAAACAAAAATTCACATCCACTTTCATCCGTTCACCCCCAAAAATCTTTAATTTTAGGGATCTTTTTTCAGTTTGTATAAAAATCCAGGGGACTGAAACTTTCTCATGACCACCGTGAAGACAGAGAAGCCTGCTAGCTATTGCATCATCAGCCACTAAAAAGCAGATTTTTTATACCTATATCAACAAAAACCTGTAAAAGCGGGAAAACTGCCTTTCTTGTGACGACAAGGTTGAGGAAAGCCTAACCAAACTGCCGTTTATTATGAGAAGTATTTGCCTTGCACATTTTCAAGGTAGAGCAGTTCCATTCCCAGAAAGACAATCCCATGACAGTTCTAACTAAAAAACTGGCTGCTCTTTGTTAGCAATCTCAGTAACCAGCAATGCGACAAATTTTCATGAAAAAAATAAAATAAGGACCACTTTCAATGCATTCAGGTGTGCTGAGCATATAGGGCTAGACCTATATTTTATTGACCAATAGACAGTATGTGGGTGATGTGGACAAAATTATACCGGCCCCTTTACTTCAAAGGACTTTACCCGGTACATGTTTGAGGCTGGGTCGACGTAGGAGCCAGTCATAAAAAAAAAAAAAAAAAAATCCGGCTCCACCAGGACCAAAACCCATGGCCTCTGGATCTGCAGGCAAGTGTCTAGCAGTTATACGATGGCGGCTCCAAAAGAATAAAATAGTACACAAGATTTATATAAAAAAAAAAAAAAAAAAAAAAAAAACCCCCGATATCCTACAGACTTGGACAGTGACCAAACAAACTATGAAAAATGACTCCAAGAAACACAAATGAAGGAATTTCTGGATAAAATGATGACTTTCCTAGACTGGTAACAATAAACAACGGCTGGTACCAACAATTACCTCATTGATGTTCGGCGTGACTTTACAGCCATCTCGTATGTTCCACAGGAGAATGGTCATCAGCTTCACTAGGCGGTCAGGGGGTATCTGTTCAAAACAAACAGTTTATGTAAAAGGCAACTAAATATATAAAACAGTACAAGCATTCAATTGTAATCAGAATAGAAAACAATCAGAAACATCTGAAGATGTGTTGTGACCGTTTACAAAATGGCTGTGATATTTGAGTCTTTCAGCCGACTTCTGCGGGGATTTGAAGCCTGGGTTAAACTTTCCGGTTAGTTTGCTGCGATACTGCAGTCTGATCATCTTTATGGAAGGAGCTGAGTGGTCTCAAGGTATGGCATCCGCCTCGAGTGCTGAAAGAGGTCCCAGGATCAAACCGACGTGAAAGCTGACATTTTTTCACCTGGACTTATAGTTATTTCCCCTGGTCTCTGGGTAGTAAGATTGGACACCAGTGTGTATTGTTGCGCACATAAGAAATACCCTAGCAGTTAGAAATAGAAAAAAAGTAGCCTAATGGAGCTGCCTGGACAAAACTTTGAGTTTAAAATTGACCCAAAAAAGTATTTTAGGATTCTCGCCGGTGCAGCGGAGTTCATGCCCTGCGCTGAGAATCTTCAGACTCAGGCTTGAGTTAGAAGTAGAACGGAGCATTCATGGGTTTACACCCTTGTGCCAGGATGTTGATCCGTTGACTAAACTAACTAACTAAATAACTGGTCATCTTTGTTTCTTAGGTTACAGGTGATGCCGCCTATCAGGCCAGTCTAGAGACGCCACATAATGCTGGTCAGTACTCAATCATCATCATCAATTTGAATCCTAAGACATGCTTGTTGGGGAGGCAGTGGGTCTATTCTAGTTTTCCCAACAATGGGGCCCCAGGAACTCATACGGGGAACCTTATTACTAACCTTTTACAACATATTACATCTACCCTCCCCCCCTCCCCCAGGAGTCTATAAAGTATTCTTATACATGTCCAAACTCCACTCTCCCTGGTACCTGACTTGGTGCATTCACTAATGTTATCCCATTTAGGGCTTCACAAAACAACCCCCACAATAACTGGCTGTATTATTTCAACAGGTGATTTTACATTCAGAAGTTTTCCATTGCTTTCTGCATGCTACAGTTGTTAAAACCAATGCAAAGAGGTCTGCTACATTTACGTCTATAGCTGACTTAGCCTTCTGTATGTCAGTATTGTGAAACTGCTCACAACCCCTACAACACAGATGCCGGCATTCAAAGATGTAGAACAGCGTTCTTCAACTGGTGGGCCAGGGAAAGTCTCTGGGGGCTGCCGGGAAAGTCCCTGTGGGCAGCCGTAAAGTTTTGCATGACCATGTAACAAGATAAGGCAGGTGGTTCTCTTCCAATCTGTAGAATTAACATCTCAAGGACTTCCTGTCTGTGTAACAAGACTTTCTCCGCCCAAGTCAATAATAAAAACCAAACAGAGAATTTTAATGGATGCAACTAACTTTTAAACCTCTAAGCAGCAGAAGATGCAGCATTGGCTGAATTTTGTGGCATCAGATTTCACAAATACAGTCCTACCTACATCTATTTTGTTTTTCATGTCTGGTTAGCTGTCAGGTGGGCTGGAAAACAATGTCCACTAACTTGGTGGGCCGCGGGTGTTAAAAGGTTAAGAAACACTGATGATGCAGAGCATCTAATTACAGAAGTCATCGAATCCATCCATGCAGTTTGATTAATTTACCTGAGATAGTGCATTCATAGATTTGAGTTTAGCTGCTTCTCCATACAAATCTGTCAGAAGCCCTCTAGTAATGAGAGATTCAGGAGGACACTCAACATCGTCACTGTCTGCAGGAGGAGGATGTCAAACAAAATATATTATGAAATTATTATCACTAGCTGCAGATCAGGCTCAGGTAAGAAAGAGCGACATATATATATGATCATAGCAATGTCTAACTGAAGATGGTATTGGAAGAAATCTTTAAAAGCTGTAGCTTAAATGTATATAAATCTGTTTCTAGCACATAAGCATTCATGTAAATGGAAGAGAACAATTGTAAGTTGAGGATTGACTTTACTGCAACAGGGTGTATGCCCCACTTGACCAGGTCTCTCTCCAAATCATAGCTTACTACCCGTCAAGGAAAGTCTCACAAATATTCGTTGGCTTCAATGATGATCCAATATTTTTATAGTGAACCAAAATATCTAGTCCAAAACTTAAGGGTGGGAGGACACACAACTTTTCCACTTCAAAACAGAGATAATTAATTTCCAAGAACTATGAGAGATTTTAAAGGATATGTTATCTTGCAGCGGACGGCCATGGACAAACTGCAAACCAAGATGCAGTATGAAAAGGGTCCAAGCTGGATGCTTTGAACAATTGTTTATGCAGACTGTTGCATTATAAGGACATGAGATCCACCAAAGCTCATCAAGATAAATAACAATGCATGTTAAACCACTTATTACTTCATCATGTAAAACACAGACCAAGACCATATTTACAAAATTTTAAAGATGAAATGGAATTCTTACCAACACCTACCTTTAAATTAGTTTGTGCTCAGGGTTATATTGATAAACTAAAGACCTAAATTTCCTAGCTAAAAGGCATTGATTCTGTTTTTCAAAATGTAATTTTAACAGTCTTTTTGTGTGTGATAATAAAGACTTTCCAGCCACACACACACTGCAGCACCTATGATGGGGTTTATGTAAAGATAACACTTACCAGTCTGTTGCTGATTGACGAACACTAATATAAGACACACAGTGATGAACCATGGGAAAGTTACCTTTGTCAAAACCGGCAAAGTTGGCATCTTCAGCATTGTCGAGAATGACATCCACACAACTGTTGAATTTCTTGAACATGGGGCTGTCCAGCAAGTCCTCTAAACTCACCACAGGCTGAAGCAACCTCGTCTTGCTGTGCTTCTCCTTCTTCTTCATCTTGGCATCTGAAATGGAGTCATATATATATCATTTAAGGCCAGTGATAGTTCCTGCTCAATGCCAGATAATTCTAGAACAGCATCAAAGAATGTAGGTATCCAAGGTTGAGATAGTGCCACACTGAGATATTTGAGAGTAAATAACAGAAAACTTACAGTGTGCCTTGATATCTTCTTCAGTCTCCACAAATTCTGACAGTGAGGAAGCATCATCACTCTCCACAGAATTCCGTCTCCGTTTTGCTAAGAAAGAACCAAGATGGATTGTGTTAAAAACCTCTCACTTATATCACAAACAGGGAATAATCTGTCTAAACAAGCAACCACCTGACATGACACATTCACAACCCATGTAACTGGAGTGTTCTTGGCAAGGTTAATGCTTTAATATTCAATACATAAGACCAAGGTCTAGCTTGACTATTCTCGGCTAGGCTTTTGCCCTCACACACCAGGTGATCCAGGATTTTTTTTTTTCGGTTTGTTTTATTCCTCCATAATTGCATTGCAAATCCCAGAATCCCTTTCAACCATTTAGCCATATGATTAAAGGTAAACGCGAAGCAGGCTATCATATGTTACTGTGAAGATCCCCTGAGTGTGAGTGTTTGCAGACCCTGCGTAATCCAATGCCCCAATGGCAGTCCCACTAATGATTACAGGGACTTTCAATCATTTAGTGGATTGTTATTTTGTCAAGCAGCTAGTTGAGCAGTTTGAACACTGGGTTCTGAAGCAAGAGACCTGGGTTAGAATCCTCCATACGGTTGTGGACTTTTTCTGTGGGCGCAAAAATAAAATCTTAGCCTGCGGTGCATAGCGACAGCACTAGCCATGCAGCCGGAAATCCTCAGGTCTGCCTGCTTACACCGCAAAAGTGGTAAATACAGGCAGTAATGTTAGGCCCCCACCCCTTCTGAATTTCTTATTTATTAGTGATTCACGCACAAAAGATAAGAGACCTAGAACAGATGTATACTTATAGGAGTTATCACAGCACTAACCACTGTAAATGTGGACAATTTTGACAAAATATAAACATAAACTAGATGACAATAAGCACACAATTCACCAAATGCCAAAAGGTGTCACGAGACCAACAAACTGCCTTACCTGCCCTATTTTTGTATGTATCTTCTGACCGCCGATTCCGAGATGGCTGAAAGGACATGTCCCCTGCTGTCCTCGATATATTGAAGTTGGATTCTTCTCTCTTTTTCTTCCGTACATCATTATCACAGTCAGTTTTTACTGCAAGGCACATTCCACAGAAAGCTACAGTGTTTGCTTGGTAATTACGAACATCTATGCAGTAAATTTCATGGAATACACCAGGAATAACTCACCTGAATAAAATTATGGGATGTTTTTTCGACACTTTCAGATGTACTAGGTATACACAGAACTGCACCTATACAATACATACCAATCTGCACTCTGTGGATGATGTGGTCAACATCACACTGACCGCCTTTACTTCCCAGGACTTTAACTGGTACCCATTTAAGGTGTGGTCAACCTGGGAGCAGAGGTCATTTTAAAAAAAAACCTAACAAATGCCCGGCCCTGCCAGGATCTGAACCCATGACTATTGGATCCACAGGTGAGCATCTAGCCACTGCAGCATGACGACGGTTCCCATACCTGAATGACAACACTGAATGACTCCGGGCAATAGGCTGCAAGTCTGCTAATGATAAAATACCCAAAGTAAAGGACCCCTTTCCACACCTTCAGACATACAATGCTAGACCAATATTTTAGAGACCAATCGGCAGGCACTCTGTGAGTGATGTGGTCAACTCCATGCTGGCCACCTTTACTTCCCAGGACCTTACCAGCATCTCCGCAGGCATGAACTCTTTCAGTCCCAAGTAACCCACTCAAGTGCCCCAGTCAACATAGTCTGCATATCTGTACGCATGGAGTTTAGTCAGGCAAAACTAAATCAACTCAACAACACAAGTCACCCACCATGTGTTGTGTATCTGCACCCCGTGAATGGCTATGCCTTTATTGTCATCATTATTGCTTCATTCAGTCATCAGCTATGACATTCAAGATTGAAAGAGTCAAGTTCCAGAACACACTCTGCATGTCTGTAAACATGGAGAGGCGACAGAGAGCTCTGCAATACAGTCACTGTGGCGATGGTATTTTGGATGATAGTCCAGAGAAAGTCTCTACAAGAATTTACCTCTAACAGATACAAGCCCTTAACAAGACTCAAAACTATTTTGATCCCCAAATGTTGTAAATTTGAAAGGTAAAACTCAACTCAGCATTTACTACTAACAAAATGAAGCATGAATCTGGTGTTACAGTGGGAAAGGTGAACTATCTGATTCTGACCATATTCCATTAGCCACTGAGCGCCATCTGGCTACAGGAAAAAAGCCCAACAATAACATATTCACAAAATTCATTACTTTACACCAGGAGTGGGCAAACTATACCCTGTGGATCAAAACTGGCTTTTGTTCTTTCTTTTCTGGCCCGCAAGGCTGGTGTGAAATTACTAAATAATCTGGGCTGTAAACTTACAAAATAGCAGAAGAAATAGCTAGCTTGAACAGACACATTCAGGAATATACAGAAGGGCTTCAGTGGTGAGTGTCTGGCCGGAGGTGTAAGTGAGGGATTATAATATTAGATAATCTCACAAAAATATTGAGTGAAGAGGAAATCTGGGTATTGTGATTATAATAGATTTCTCCTATATGGTCAGCGACCAGGTTAGTAATTCTAAATTTGGCCTAGGGAACTAAGAAAGGTTGCCTACCCCTGCTTTACATACCCCATACATTTAACCTGCAAACAACACACATGAAATAAACTTCTGAGCACTCACCAAATGTGACTACTAAACCTCATGTTCAAAAACAAAACAGATGGCATAGAAGAAGTCAGCATCCTTCAGAACAAACAGTTAGTGATCACAAAAGAAGAGGAGGAGGAAGAAGGACCAAGAGCAGCAACATACGAAGAACAATAACAATAAGAATAGAATAAAGACAAGTTCAAATAACTGCTAGCCAATTGTAATAACAAACAGCATTACAGATTAAACTTTGGACCAAAAATGGAAAGACTTACCAGAACCGCCCTTCCTAATTGTCTTCAGTGTCTGCAGGACGCGGAACAAAAATGTGCAGGTTAAATAGTGAAAACACATTTCAAACATCAATGCTACATTATACAGGCAACAATACTACTTGTCATTTCTCACATTCATCTGAGTTAAGATACATTTTATACTGTTTATAATAAAACATGTAATAGGTGAATGCTTGGGTCACAGAACATCTGAACCACTATTTTTCTTCTTTTATCCTTCTGTCAAAAAACCTTTTATCATGAGGCTAGTAGAATTAATAATGAAAGTTATCTTACATTCCAAATCTCCCGGTGTGCAATACCATTTTGTAGTTGACTAAAGTTGGAACAGGCCATCCCCAAGGTGGTTCTGGGGCCTCATTGTGGGTTTAAAAGAAAAACAGACCCTTGGCTTCTCTAATATTAAATAGGCATACCATAAGAGTCAAGTAATTAGAGGTTTCTTTAGAGGTCTGAGTGCATCTACCTGACAGGCATAGAACCAACAGTCTGCACACAAACAAAATAAGCCAGACCTGTAAAACAGATGTGCAAAACTTAAGTTCCAGAAGTTGACAAACAACCAGAACTTTCCCCTGGAGTTGACAGCCAGTGAAGAAGTATGAACAGGCCAGATGGTCTGTCTGTTGGCAGAATACAGCTTACAGTGTTAAGTTACATGCTCAGCATTCTTAAGTACCAAGCCGAAGTTGGTATTTTTGTACACATTTGATACTATGTGATCCTTGCTGAGCAAAACTGTAAGTCTGGTACCACACACAATGTTTTGGTATGTTTTAGACATTGTGCATCAATATTTTATTTTCTGGCATTGTGTTGAACCTTAACAAAAAGTGGTAGTGTACTATATCAAGCTTGATGCAAATGTACCATCTGATGTGTTTGTTCAAATGCACCTTCAAATCACTTTCATAAGCCAGTGTAAGAATGGAGGAAACTAACAGTGCATGATCAGCTAATGCTGAAAAAACCAATTGTTTGCTTTATAATTTCAGAAAAAGAAAAATGTGGAGATGAAAATCACTTTCCATTAGTATCCAAATCTTTGCTTAGTCTTTTGGCATTAAGTCATTCCTCTGCAGAAAGCGTTCTCTCTCTCTGCTTAACAATATTAAGATTTAAAAAAAAAAAAGCTTTTCTTTGAAGACTTCAACAATAAATATATTGACAAGTTCAAAGTAACTGCTCCAGGACATTACTGCACCAAATGGAAACCTCCACAGCAGATTTGTAACTAACTTAAACTGAGCTAAAAAAAAATATAAAAAAAGTCATTTGTTGCCTGTCCTTAGTCTGACTACGATACATACACTGCACCTCTGCAAGGCAAGGATGTGATCTAGAGATTAACAGTTGCCTTTTTCAGCTGACGTGAGAACATGGATAACAAAAGAAAGAGAAAATTAAAAAAAAAATTATATGAAGAGGGGAAGTGAGATATTTTTTAAAAGGTGTGAGAGCGATTTGGAGGAAATAGGAAGGAGAAAGAGTAAGAAGAGCAAAATGGAAGAGACAGGTAAGTGAGACAAGTTAACCCAAAAATAAAATAAAAAAATAACAAAAATTAATCAAAGGGATACTATAATCAGGTATAGCAGATGTTACAGGTGATCATGATTTTCTGTACCTAGATCTATGATGGTTACGCACTAGCAAGGAAATCAAAATTAAAATGTTGAGATGTAGCAACACACGGAAATGAATCATGGACTATCTCCCAGTCCTTAGGAAAGAGAATAGGGGTTTTTGAGCTGAAATGCTAAAGAAAGTTCTTAGAATATCATGGACAAAGTAGAGATGAAATACCGACATTTTAAAAGATCTGAACATCATTTGAGAACAGCCAATAAACAGCATCTTGTGGCAGAAGCTGAAATATTTTGGTCATATAAATCGCCAAGGTGGATTGGGGAAAAAATAACTGCAGAAGGCATGGTACCAGGAAGGAGGGGCAGGTGCCGACCAACACAAAGATGGGCACAGGATATAAGTGACTCCTTGAATATGAAAGTATATGAGGTGCTAGAGTGGCGAGAGACCAAGTTTCTTTTAGGCAGACTGTGATGACAGCAAAGTTCTGCAAAGGATGTGTTACCCGATGAGATCTACGAAACAAAACATTATTGTACACTGACAATTTGCAAGGCACAATGGAAATCTAATAAGAATCTTTGCTTGTTATTTTCTCTAGTCTCCCTTTATATTAATATTTACACACTGCAATATGTCAAAGATCTGCCCCACCATGCCCCAATGACTTGTCTTCTCCTGATGTTTTTCTGACATCCTCTTTCAAAACATTTAAAATACTCCTCTCTGCTTCAAATATCTCCAGCATGTTCCCTGTGTGGGTTCCGAGGCCCCACTCTGGGGAAAACATGAACAGACTCACCACCTCCACAACAAGCATGTCGTAGGAGTCAACTAATACGGGACATCTTTCAAAGTGGGGAGTACATCTGCCTGAGAAGCAAGGAACCACAAGTCTGCATTCAAATAAGCCAGATCTGTGAAATAGATGTGCATGCAACACTCAGCTTCTGGAGCAAGACTAAAGCCCAGAACTTTCTGCCAGAGTTTACAGCAGATGAACAGGAAGAAGAAGATGTCCAGCCCTCTTCTGTAGAAGTGTGCGCTCTCCCTCTCTCTTCTCATAAACACATACATATATATATTTATATATATATATAGGCATTAATACATTTTCCCCCCAATCTATTCACCCCATTCAACATCCGTCATCATTACAATAACGTTAGGACAGACATTTTCAAACACGGAAATACTCACAGAAGGATCCAACATTTCTAACATTACGACTGGCTCGCTTTTCTTTGTGGTTTCTGTGCTTTTTGATTTCTGATGCGAGGACGAATCAGAGTTTTTTACAGGTGCGCTGGAGGGCAGGTGAGCCGGCAAAGGTAACCTGCTGACTGAACTAGTCTTAATCTGATCACCGATATCGTTCAACACAATCACGGGCTCCGGCAGCACCGGTGGCCCCTGAACATTAGTCCTGTTTGGCAAATGGCCTGCGGGTTTTTGTACGGGTTCCTGAGATTTGTTGCCGTGCTGGCACTGTTGGTCAGTGTTGTCGTTTGATATGGAGGACGATGAGTTCCGGGGACGTCTATTATGCCGTTCGCGTGGGTCTGTGGGGTTTTGTGATAAGGTGTGCGAGGCTTGGTGTGCATACTGGTGAGGCAGAACTCTCTCTGCCGCAGTTGCCTGTGCTGGGCTGGCCACTGAAAAGTAAAGGTCACACATTTAAAGAATGGTAATCTCATAAAACACTGTCAAGTTCTGTCGTGTTGATCAGTACAACATTCATTATCTACACATACATAAACTGCAAACATATCACACATGAAGTAAACATCAGGGCACTCACCAAATGGCGGAGAAAAAATAATTATTTTTTAAAACAAAAGGTCAGTCAGTCAGTAGCATGTCCTTTGCAGAACCTTGCTCCCATAACAACCCTCCGGAAAACTTCTCAGTCACAAGCAAGAAGTCCCGAATACGATACACCCATCTGGATTCTGGATCTAAATTTTCGTGACATTTCCACTGGTCAAAATATTTCAATTTTAAATGTGTTTTATCGTCTTTAATAGCCAACCTTCAATATTCACTTCTCAGAGTATGGTTGCATTTGTTCTTTTCTTTACCCATGATATTCTTTGAACATGTCTATAAAATTTGTATTTAAAGGCATTTACGCGCTGTTCAGCTTGTTTAGTAAGTGTCCAGGTCTCACAGGCGCATGTTGCAATGGAAAAAAAAATGCATGCTCTTAGAAATCTTATTTTTTTGTAGTTCTGTCCGCCCCACTCCATAATTTATTCAGTTGTTTAAGTCTCTGAAGAGCAACTGATAGTCATCTTTAATTTCTTTCACTGCAAAGATAACTAATTAGAGTATACTGAAATCGGACTTGTTTCTGCGAAGGGCACAGGTTTAGCAAACACAGCTGTAAACCCATTTGTCCTAACATACTTTTAAGAGTGAAGAGTAGTTCTGAGTCTGACACGCGATATCCATATCTGACTACAAATATCTAGAGTAAAGGACCCGTTTCCCACATCTTTAGATGTATTTATATAGTCTTCTTCTTCTTCAGCATTCCGAGCCCCTGAGGTTTGCTGCTGCAGATACCACCCACCTCTATTCATCTCTCTAGTTGGCCTCCTCTTTTCAGTTGCTGACACCAAGTGTGTGCAGGTCTGTCTGGATATTATCTTCTCCACCGTCTTCTTGGTCTGCCTTGTGGTCTACGACCACTCATCTCCCTCGTGTATAAAGTTTTTACTTCTCTGTCATCTGACATTCTTTCAATATGCCCCAACTATTAGCTGCCATAATGCCCGTGATGATTTAAACAGATTTTGAATTTCATTATTGTTTCTCACTCTCCATTTCCTACTGTTTGCATCTTTGATGGGCCCAAAGATTAGACGTAAGACTGGGGTCCTAATGGAGCAATGATGCGCAATACAAGAATCTTAATGTCTATTAGCCTCTCTTGCTCAAGCCTACCTCACCTTCACGTGGTGGACCCTGTTCTCCCCAGCAATCCAGTTGAAGGTTGGGGTCTCAACCCCCAGCGGGAAACTGGATGGGACAACAAACGAGGTAAAGGCGAAAGACAAATGGATGAGCCTACTCTCCTCGAGTATGATCACAGTCTACCCTAGCAAAACAAGGTGCTGAAGTCGGAGGCAACCAGCCAGGAGGCGCACCACAGCAATCAGGATGCCACGTATACACGCCTTGGAAATATGTCTATATCAGCAAAACGTTATGGTGCTCGCCCTGTGATGGACTCTCAGGCAGGAGCAGTGCCGGGCCCTCTGCCTCGAAGAGGCCCAACCCAAATTACTGGAGGTCCTTCTCAAATGTCCTGTGGAGCCAGGGGACGTGAGAATAGAGCATCTGGCCGAACTAAGAAAGGAGTCAAATTAATGCACTGGAATGCAGAGGGGATTACAAATAAAAAGCTAGAGTTAGAAAATATTCTAAATGAGGAACAGATTCATATATGCTGTCTACAAGAAACCCACCTCACTGAAGACACAGTCTTCAAAATCAGAGGTTATCAGTGCTTCCGATCAGACCGGAAAGGCAGGAAAAAGGGGGGAATATTGACTCTTGTGAGGAACAATATCACTGCTTGCCAGACTGAAGTATATATGGATGGAGCAGAATATCAGATTCTGAAACTACAAACTGGAAATGCAGACTTCTACCTGATCAATTATTACTGCCCAAGTGATCGTCCCCAGGCTTTAGACACAATCCCAGTGGAAGAAAAGATGATTCTATGTGGAGACTTTAACAGCCACTCACAAAGCTGGGGATATGACCATATAGACCAGAGAGGAGAGAAACTGGAGGAGTGGCAGGATGAGAACAGATTTGTTCTTATTAATAGGCCAACTGATCCACCCACATTCTACTCGAGGTCGTGGCACACCACTACTACCCCAGACCTAGCATTTCACTCTCCAGATCTGGAATGGAACATTAAACGAGTTGTTGGAAATCAACTGGGAGGCAGTGACCATCGACCAGTCTTCCTGAATGTAGAAAATGAGAAGGTCAGAGAAACTAGTACGCTGCCAAGGTGGAACTACAAGAAGGCTGACTGGACAATGTTCAAGCACCGTACCAGTATACTGCTTGGAAGTCTCAGCGTAGACCAGGATATAAACAAAGTAGTTAAAGAATTTAACAAATGCGTACTAAAGGCAGCAGGAGAATCAATACCAAGAGGTGCCCGTAAGCATTATAAGCCATACTGGAGTAATGAGCTAGAAAATTTACAAAACGAAGTAGAAACATCCAGAAAGATAGCAGAGACCAGGCCAAACCAAGAACATCACAATAACTACCAGCATGCAAAAGCAAAATTTGTAAGGGCAAAGCTGCAGGTTAGAAGGGAAAGCTGGCAGGAGAAAACAAGGTCGCTGAACTTTGAAAAAGACACAAGAAAGTTATGGAAGCTTGTGAAACAAATTAATGATGAGGACACAGGGTGGAACTCAAAGATCACGCTGCAGAAAGATGGAAACACGGTCACAGGAAAAGAGGCAGCCAACCTATTTGCGGACACTTTTGCTTTAGATAATGACATTGAAATCAGTTCAGAGAAAAAACACGAAATTCAAGAAAAGACACAATTTAGAAGTCAGAAAGAAATAACATCAGAGGCGCTAGAGGTGCCAATTACACTTAATGAACTGGAGTTGGCCATTTCAAAGCTGAAAATGCGGAAGTCACCAGGAGCAGATGGTATATCAAACGAAATGATCAGAAACTTAGGAAAAGTAGCCAAAACAAAGCTTTTACAGATATTTAATGCTTGCTGGGCAACAGGGAATGTTCCACAAATCTGGAGAGAGGCAATTATGATAGCTCTCATAAAGCCTGGGAAAGACAGTTCTAATGCCTCCAACTACAGACCAATCAGCCTCACAAGTTGTCTCTGTAAAACAATGGAGCGCATCACCAACCTCAGACTACAGTGGTACATTGAAAGTGAAAACATCATTACACCACAGCAGGCGGGCTTTAGAAAGTTCTATTCTACGGAAGACCAGACAACATACCTCTCCCAAGAAATAGAGGATGCTTTTCAAGATAAGAAACTGGTACTCGCGGCATGGATAGATTTAAGGAAAGCTTTTGATAAGGTTTGGAAGAAGGGGCTTTTGAAGAAATTGAGAAACTATAAAATAAATGGAAAAATGTACAATTGGATTAAAGCATATCTACATAACAGAAGAGCCCGGGTACAGGTAGATGGTTTCAAAAGTAAAAAAGTTCTACTGCGACAAGGCGTCCCTCAAGGTGGTGTCCTGTCGCCCACACTTTTATTTTTATTTATCAACGATCTGGTTGCTGAGATACCAAATGGAATCAAAATGGCAATGTATGCCAACGACCTGGTACTGTGGTGCACCAATGAACATGCAACGATAGCCATAAAAACACTACAGCGGGCTACAAATGCACTTGAGGCATGGGCCAATAGATGGTGTGTCAGTATCAACACAGACAAATGTAGCACCACACTATTCACCCTCTCCCCAAAGCAAAAAGCCGGCACCATCAAAATAAACGAAATACCCCTGAGAGATGATAAAGAGCCCACATACCTAGGAGTCACATTTGATGACAGGTTGACATGGAGAAAACATATCAACAAGGCAGCAACCAAAGCCAGGAGGAAGACAGCAATACTAAGAAAACTAAGTGGAACTACATGGGGAGCAGATGGGAAAATACTCAATAAAGTATACAAGCAGAGCATACTTCCACACTTGGAATATGGGTCAACTGCATGGTGTTCAGCATCTAGTACCACATTAAAGGAGTTAGACAAAGTGCAAAATCAAGCGCTCAGAGTCATCACAGGAGGGATGAAATCAACCCCCATATTAGAAATGGAGAAAGCTGGGAAAACACAGGCACTGAGAGAACGCAGAGATACAAAGTTGCAAATACAAGCTGAAAAGTTCCTCAGTATGCCAGATCACCCGATGGAAAATAGATTTAAGAACCTAGCCTTGGGACGGTTAAAAAGAAGCAGCTTTATACACCAAGCAAAAAGAATATGTAGACAAACTCCTGACCTTCCAGAAATTGGCTGCCCACTTAAAAGTATTCCGGAACAAACCCCATGGAGAGAAAAATGTAAACTAACGGTACAAATCCAGACAAATGTGAAAGGGATATTTGACAAGAAAGAGCAAGATAGTGTACAACGCAAAATGGCCACCCTCAGTTATATTGATGAAGAATACCCACAAGAACAATGGGTCAGAGTCTATACAGATGGGTCCGCAGAAAGTGCAGTTAGAAATGGTGGTGCTGGAGTGTACATCGAATTCCCAGATGGTACTAGGGATAAGTCCAGCGTACCAACCGGGAAGTACTGCCATAACTACGATGCAGAAACCCAGGCTATTAAGATAGCTACAGAGAAACTGCTAAATACCAACCTTGGCTCACAGTATGTGGTAATGCTGACAGATGCTAAATCAGTACTTGAAGCACTCCAGTCTAGGAAACTACCAGAATTGCAAACACTGCTGACACAACTCAGCCTTCAGCGAAGAGTTGTAATGCAATGGATACCGTCTCATTGTGGAGTGCCTGGAAATGAGAAAGCTGATCAACTGGCAGGGGAAGGTGCGACAAAAGAGCAGCCAGATGTACCAGTCACATACCACCAAAAGAAAAGAATCATTAAATCGATCAGGAAACCACCAGTCCCAGCACAAGACGACTATTTTTTTATGGACAGACCAGAACAAGTCATTATCTTCCGCCTCAGAACAGGGCACAACCGATTACGTAACCACATGTACACAAAATTCAAGATAGGTGTATCAGCCATGTGCACCTGTGGAAATGTGCCCCAGACCGCAGAGCATGTACTCCAGGACTGCACCGATTTTGACACATTAAGGCAAACCTTTTGGCCAGAAAGAACAACAGTGGAACGTAAACTCTATGGACCACTGAATGAACTAACAACGACAGTGAAATTTATGCAAGAGACAAAACTGCTGATATAGATAACTTATTTCAGGCGAACGAAAGAAGAAGAAGAAGACGTAAGACTGTTTTCGAAAACCTGTATTCTTCTCCTTCTTCTTCGCGTTCACCAGCTGTAAACTCTGGTGGAAAGTTCTGGTTGTTCATTTACTTCTGTTCCAGAATCTGAGTGTTGCATGAGCATCCGTTTTATAGATCTGACTCACCTGTATGCTGACTGCTGGTACCTTGCCTCTCATGCAGATGGACTCCGACTTTGAAGGAAGCTCTCAATTAGTTGACCCTTTCCACATGCTTTTTGGTAGACAGTGGGTCTATTCTTGTTTTCCCTATAAAAGGGCCCTGGAACCCACACAGGGAGAAAACCTGTAATAAGGCTTTATCTCTTTTAGTTGTGCTCTAAGTTTCAGAGCCGTATAAAACGACTGGTCTATCAACGTTTTATATATTTTGATCTTTAAGCTACACCATTATTTTATAGACCAATCTGAACTTGGTGGAGAGGGTGGGGAAATGGTTAACAGCACGCCGACAGCCTTCACTTCCTACCCAAGCCGTTACCTGGTACCTATTCAAGGCTAGGTCTACTTGGGAGCTAGTCATTTAAAAATGAACCCACGACCTTCAGATCCACGACAGCTCCTCAAAAAACTACACACACACTAAATATGTCACACAAAACAGTGTGTGAGAACAAACAGTCAATCTTACCTGCATTCGGTTGATGGTTATGAGAAACTAAAGGACTGGATGAATGTCCGGACCCAGCACTGGCAGCTGGATAAGGACTGTTGTTAGGTGATGTATATAAATTAGGCTGATATCTGGGGGATTGAGAATGACTTTGCCTGCGAAGAAATGACAGAGAGACTCACATTCACTTGTGTATAGAGCAGCTACACTACCTTAATTTCTAGTTACAGATACACAGGTATGACCAGTTAGCTCAGACAACACAGAGGAACAATGAAAATAAACTCGACATAATAGATCTTAACTAAAATCAGGAACATATTTTCTGATATCCAGAAGAGTGTCCTCAAATCAGTGCCTATGCCTTTCAGTAGCCTGAGACATGAGGGGTATTTTCAACAAAGAAGCCACCATATTAAGCCATGTTTTTTCAAACATCCACAAGTCTCTGAAGAATCTAATCTTAGTTGGGTTCTCTATCTTAATATTCAACATAGTTTCATCTAATAATATTTCACATTATTTCTCCTGGCCCTAATCTCTAGACTTCTCATCTATTCCATTTCTCTGGGTCACTTCCTCTCTACTGTCCTTTTTAAAGGCACATTTTTCAGTGAGGGTGGGTGTCCAGCAAGCATCTGTTTTCACAGCGGATGGATATTTTCACAAGGGTACTTTATTTTATGTATTCTTTAATGTAGCTGTATAATTGTGTTGTATGCTGATGAAGGCTTTTGGGCTGCAGTAATCATTCAGTTAACCACTACTGTGTTTTACTGGAAAACTGACTGGTTCTTCTTCCCATTTGGGTCTATTTTGTTTCTTTTATCTTAAATGTCACCAGAACATGCTCTCTTCATTATGAACACCATTTGGGTCCATTTTTGTTTGTTATATCTTAAATGTCACCAGAAGATGCCCTCTTCATTATGACCACCATCTGAGTCCATTTTTGTTTGCTATATCTTAAATGTCACCAGAACATGCCCTCTTCATAATCAGACTTCCAGACTTGTCCCCCAGCATGTTTGATTTAAAAAGCCTAATTTTTATAGGGACTGCTTTCTTTAAATATGTTACCTCAGAAACGCTAAAAAAAAAAAAAAAACGACAATGACCCTGTAGGGTACCCCCTCTCCCTCCCCCCAAACAATTAAAAAAAAAAACCTACAATAAATTTCACAGTAAATGTTTACAAATTTGTCTAAATTAAAAAAAAAAAACAATCAATAAATACAAAGCATTAAATGGAATACACCTTCCTTAGGCACTAAAAAAACAAGTATTGTGTGATTAAGGCAGTGACCATGTGACCTCTATCACTGAGGCAAATGGAAAACAATTTGAATCTGGCTTTTAAAATGCTATGTGGTTCACAAAAAACACCCCCAAATACAATTTTAGCTACAATATTCACATCCTGACCTCCTAAACGTTTGCACTGGCAGGAACTGGGCCAATAGCATTAACTACTGCACCTCATAAACATGCCACTTTAACAAGTCGGAATACTTAACATTTATGGGAATTGGACCCAACCAAAAGTGCCAGTTTTGTTGCTTCTCGGGGTTAACATTAAACTGTTTTCATTCTATCAACAAGGAGGCAGCTGTGTGCCTCCCTGAGCCCGTACAACATTTCTGACTTGAGAGACCCTACCTGCTGCAATGCTCCAGTTCACAAGCTCTTGGCAGCACAGACATGCTACTTTACAATAATCAGAGATTTGATTTAAGAACCGATATCACAGCACTCAGGGCATTCCCATAAGCGCTCTGTCCCCATCTTCAGCAGCCAGCGAAGAGTTCCAATACTAATGGTGCCAGTAGCATTCTGATTAAACTTCCATCTTGCCTTTCCTCTGAGCCTTGAGCATCTGCCAGAACGTCTCGTCACTCCTCCCTGCATCAATCTCACCAGACTGCGGTGATCCATCTGCTCCTTCGAACTGTACACACTCTTTCACAAGGCACTAACCACGTCAATAATCAGAGAGGAAAGGAGATAAAATATGCACATACCTGGAACTACTGTGCTGACTGTCGCTATGAGAAGAACTATAAGGAGGGGTGTTGGAGGAGATTCTGTAACCATGTTGGATGTAACTCCCATACTTTGAAGCATGAGAATGCATACCTAGAACAGAAAACAAAATGCAGTCAGTACAAAGAAACATCAACATCATAGTTTATATCAACCATAAACATGTATACAAATTAGTTTCGCCTGACCAGGTACAGTATTAGATGACATTTACTGAAGTCAGAACCCATTGTTTGTTGGGAAGACAACATCCGACAGTCCCTCACTGAAAGAGGACTGGAATGGAACAAAACCACACACAAACACTGATGGGAGAAAAGCCTTGTGATCTTTCTGGATGGTCTTCGAAACCTCAAGGTAGAAGAGAATCGACTAAACAGTAGTAAGCATTCCAGTGCACGTCACAGAAAATGGATCTCACTGTGCAAAACATAAAGAGAGCTTACATAATGGGTAATTTGGTGAAGAACTGTTCAAACAGAAAGAAATAAACTGAGACACTTTACAATGACTGGCTACAGAGCAAGTTAAGCCAGCCTTTGCCCCTGCCATCCGACATGAACTAAACAGCTACAGTGGATGCTGATGATTTTAAATGGAGTAAAAAAAAAGGGACAAGAAAGTGGTAGAATCACTCAGCAGGTGAAAATATAAACTGAGGTTTACATGTTGACAGCAGTTGGAAATAGCAAGAAAACAATCCTCAGTACTGCTGATGAGGATCTAGGTTGCTACCTGGCAGGTCTCAGCAATACAAACACAACTGGAGAAACACAGACATATACCAACTAAATGTGCACCACGTAGCAGTTACAAATATCAACATCAGTGGAAGATGGCAAGACAACAATCACACTTACTGCTGATGAGGATCTAGGTTCTTACCTGAGATAGCAATACAAACACAAATGGAGGAACACAGACGTACCATCTAAATGTGCATTGCCTTGAAAAATGTGTGGATCCTTGCGCATCATAGTCTGCAGCAAAACAGGGATGTCACCATCCACTGTGTTTGTGCTCAGGGTGTCCTTGAGCTCTCTGAACAAGTTGCAAATTGAAAGAAAAGAAAGTGATTACTTTACAGCAAAACTACAGTGCGTTTACAAATTTGTGCATATGTTAAAAAAAGTACATATCAGCTGTGGTGGAATATTAATAGATGAAATTTTATATTAATATTTACTTCATTCCCAACGTGATGTCAAATTTCGTGTCTTCAATTTTGAAGGGGAGAAAAACAACTCCAGTGTGGATTTGAAACCAGATCTACTGTGGCTCCCCAACCACTATGGGACTACTGACAAAAACACACATTTGTGTGCACAAACTTCTGGAGGTTAAAAAGTATAACAAAACAATACAATTAAAAAAAAAATACAAATAAATTTCATGAAATCCTGGATTACTTTATTTTACACTAAAGATTTACAGAACTAAATAAAATAAAGCACAACACAGATCCTAACTCTGTCCTATCCAACACAAACAATGTTCTCTCGCTTTACCTACTTCCATCCCATCCCAGACAATCTCCACTTAAAACCACTCTCTGCTAAATACTGCTTTAATCCATTGTGCTCATACTCATACAAACACCCTAATACGGGATGCAATTGTTTCGTTACTTTAAAACCTCACTTCAGCTGTTATTGGGGGTCCTAATATAAACTAACGGTTGAACAGGGTATCTGGAACTCATGCGCCCTGGTGATTATCCTCCGAATGGTGGCACTTTGCATCACTGGGTGTTTATCATCACTGTGTGATCCTGATGGGGTTGAACTTCATTCATTGTGCCCAGTCAGTAATGCTTTAAATGCAGACTATGAAAGTAGCAACTAGCAAGGACTAACAGTGAAACACTTACATATGACTGATATTTGTTTGTCGAAGAGCGTGAGCAAGCTGGTTGCCCAGCCGCTCATCTGACGAAGCCAAGATCTTGCGGGCATCCTCGGAAATGCTTGAATTATACAACAGTGATTTGTTCTGAACCGTCTGTGGCAATGGTGTAGGCAAAGGAAGCTGTGGCAGCACTGTCAGATTAAAAAAAAAAAAAAGGATAACTTATTTGCATTACATATCAAACAAGGTGTACATTTGTATAATTCAGTTGCCAGGGCAGTGGTATAGAGAAAACGCACTCATCTGACAGCTCATTTTCCATTCAAAAGTAACATTCACAGAAAAGCACATCTCACTATAATACCAGATGGAAACACCTGATACAATCATAAATAAATGAAGACTGGGGAGGGGTTGTTTGTGTGTGGTAAAGTACATCTCTATATGCAACAATAAAAAAAGAGACAAACACTGTTCTTTGGCCACTTAATGAGAAGAGAGACATTGGAGAACATCGTGACAACTAATGAGATCAGTGGAAAAAGGGGTAGAGGCAGAACGTCAGAGATGATGCTAGATGTGCTGAAATGATGGCATGGGGGGATATCATCAAGAGAGCTGTTCCAGGCAACCAGGGATCGTGATCTGTGGAAATGCATGAGTGCCTATGCAAGTTGGCAGGGCACATGATGATGAAACTGGTGTAAACATAATGAATGCAAGGAAAATAAATGGAGATGTTCAGCTACCTTTACAAGAATCTGAAGATGTTGCGCAAATAAGCCTCTGCAATTACATTAATATAAGATTATGGTATAATAATAAGCAAACATATATAATATAGAGAAGAGAGACAAATTTAGGTGAATAAGGTGAGGAAAAGACGCTAGCATTGAATACGGCAGAGAAAACCTGATAGCAAAATAACTAAAGTCTTCTTGCAATGGAACTCAGAATAGCCAAAGAAATAAAGGGAGATTCAAAAGCATCATACACAGGTGAAAAAAGACAGGACGACATGCTGTAAGCTGCTTGGTGTACCAATGGATAAGGCAACCTGTTTTACTAGGGGACAATGAACTGTAGAAGTATAATTAATAAGACAAACAATGTAATGAAGTTAAATAAAATGCAAACTCCCTAAATGAGACAGCCTAGGCCACAACTACACATACCTAAATGAGATATCCTATTAGACATATAGACTATGCTCGGCTTCTTTTGAAGTCAGATTAAACAGTCGGCACATAAATAAGCTAGATCTGTAAAACATGTGCACACACAGCACTCAGGTTCCGGAACAAGACTAAGTGCAGAGGTGGAGAACAATCAGAACTTTCCGCAGGAGTCCACAGCCAGTAAACGCAAAGAAGAGTGGGCCGCACAAGAGGCATTCAAGTGATGACCGGGACAAGAACATGTTTCAAGGAAGGCAGTTTTGGTTAGAACATAGATTGGAGAGGCTGAATCTGTGACCTAGCATAACAATTACACACCTTTACAATAAATACGTACCCTGAAGTAAAATCCCCCCTCCCCCCACAAAACCTTTTGTACTAACAGTTCTGGAATCGACTTGGTCTCATCAAAGTGGCAGCACAGACTGCTCTGAGACTGACAGGTGATGGAGCTTATCACTTTATTATAAGAGATATCAAGATTGAAAAAAAGAAAAAATGCTACATACGCCAGTGGCACATCAGACATGGGTTTCTATAAACCAAGCAGCACCTGACAGAGTGTGGGGTCAATACTAAGCTGACTGCCTATACTTCCCATTACATTTTCTGGCACCCGCCGGTGGCTGGGTCAACCTAGAACATTAATATCCTAGCTTGATATGCATTTGAACCCAAGGTTTTTAGGGGAGTGTCTAACAGCAGCTCCCTATATACATATACTACTTGTGTGGTTCTTGTATGTATTTGTATATACACTGGCATAAAGGAGTTTAGGCCACAGCAGCACTATAGGTATATCCATGTAGGAGGCAGGAGTGATAGACATATATTACTGTGTTATCCACAGAAGGAGACAGGAGTGCTAGACATATATTACTGTGTTATCCACAGAAGGAGACAGGAGTGCTAGACATATATTACTGTGTTATCCACAGAAGGAGACAGGAGTGCTAGACATATACTACTGTGTTATCCACAGAAGGAGACAGGAGTGCTAGACATATACTACTGTGTTATCCATGTAGGAGACAGGAGTGCTAGACATATATTACTGTGTTATCCACAGAAGGAGACAGGAGTGCTAGACATATATTACTGTGTTATCCATGTAGGAGACAGGAGTGCTAGACATATTACTGTGTTATCTATATAGGAGACAGGAGTGCTAGACATATTACTGTGTTATCTATGTAGGAGACAGGAGTGCTAGACATATTACTGTGTTATCTATGTAGGAGTGCTTGACATATATTACTGTGTTATCCACAGAAGGAGGCAGGAGTGCTAGACATATTACTGTGTTATCCATGTAGGAGGCAGGAGTGCTAGACATATATTTCTGTGTTATCCACAGAAGGAGGCAGGAGCGCTAGACATATTACTGTGTTATCCATGTAGGAAGCAGGAGTGCTAGACATATCACTGCGTTATTAACAGAAGGAGACAGGAGTGCCAGACATATAACTGCGTTATCCACAGTGGAAGACAGGAGTGCTAGACAAATTACTGTGTTATCTACAGTAGGAGGCAGGAGTGCTAGACATATTACTGTGTTATCTACAGTAGGAGGCAGGAGTGCTAGACATATTACTGTGTTATCTACAGTAGGAGGCAGGAGTGCTAGACATATTACTGTGTTATCCATAGTAGGAGACAGAGGTGCTAGACAAATTACTGTGTTATCTACAGTAGGAGGCAGGAGTGCTAGACATATTACTGTGTTATCCATAGTAGGAGGCAGTAGTGCTAGACATACTACTGTGTTATCTACAGAAGGAGGCAGTAGTGCTAGACATACTACTGTGTTATCTACAGTAGGAGGCAGGAGTGCTAGACATATTACTGTGTTATCCATAGTAGGAGGCAGGGGTGCTAGACATATCACTGTGTTATCCACAGTAGGAGGCAGGAGTGCTAGACATACTACTGTGTTATCCACAGTAGGAGGCAGGAGTGCTAAACATATTACTGTGTTATCTACAGTAGGAGGCAGGAGTGCTAGACATATTACTGTGTTATCCACAGAAGGAGACAGGAGTGCTAGACATATTACTGTGTATCCACGTAGGAGGCAGGAGTGCTAGACATATCACTGCGTTATCCACAGGAGACAGGAGTGCCAGACATATAACTGCGTTATCCACAGAAGGAGACAGGAGTGCCAGACATATAACTGCGTTATCCACAGTGGAAGACAGGAGTGCTAGACATATTACTGTGTTATCCACAGTAGGAGACAGGAGTGCTAGACATATTACTGTGTTATCCATGTAGGAGGCAGGAGTGCTAGACATATATTACTGTGTTATCCACAGAAGGAGGCAGGAGTGCTAGACATATTACTGTGTTATCCACAGAAGGAGGCAGGAGTGCTAGACATATTACTGTGTTATCCACAGAAGGAGGCAGGAGTGCTAGACATATTACTGTTATCCACAGTAGGAGGCAGGAGTGCTAGACATATTACTGTTATCCACAGAAGGAGGCAGGAGTGCTAGACATATTACTGTTATCCACAGTAGGAGGCAGGAGTGCTAGACATATTACTGTTTTATCTACAGTAGGAGGCAGGAGTGCTAGAGACATGTTAATGAGTGATCTACCTATAGTATGAGGCAGAAGAACTAGAGATATCCTTTCGTGGTTATATTAGCAGACAAGAGCATCATAAATATCTATCCATGGTCTATCTATAGTAAGAGACAGAAGCACTAGAGATATACTGTGTGGTGTATCTACCGTAGGAGACAGAAGCACAAGAGATATTTATTTGTGTTTTACATTAGTAGTCAGGAGCACTACAGATACACTGTGTGGTCTATCAACAGCAGGAGACGGAAGCACTAGAGATATACTGACTGTGTGGTCTATCTACAGCAGGAGACAGAAGCACTAGAAATATACTGTGTGGCCTATTAACAGTACTACTAGAGATATATACTGTGTGGTCTATCTACAGCAGGAGACAGAAGCACTAGAGATATAGCACTACAGAAGGATACTGTGTGGCCTATCTACAGTAGGAGACAGAAGCACTAGAGATATACTGTGTGGTCTATCTACAGAAGGAGACAGAAGCACTAAAGATATACTGTGGCCTATCTACAGAAGGAGACAGAAGCACTAGAGATATACTGTGTGGCCTATCTACAGTAGGAGACAGAAGCACTAGAGATATACTGTGTGGTCTATCTACAGAAGGAGACAGAAGCACTAGCGATATACTGTGTGGTCTATCTACAGAAGGAGACAGAAGCACTAGAGATATACTGTGTGGCCTATTTACAGCAGGAGACAGAAGCACTAGAGATATACTGTGTGGCCTATCTACAGCAGGAGACAGAAGCATTAGAGATATACTGTGTGGTCTATCTACAGTAGAAGACAGAAGCACTAGAGATATACTGTGTGGCCTATCTACAGTAGGAGACAGAAGCACTAGAGATATACTGTGTGGTCTATCTACAGTACGAGACAGAAGCACTAGAGATATACTGTGTGGCCTATCTACAGTAGGAGACAGAAGCACTAGACTACGGCTATTCAACTGGAGGCCCATGGAGAGCCAGCAAGTGCCCCATAGATCACTGCCAGTTGTACTGTAATAGTGATCTTTCTAAGCTGGGGCTCTGATCCTCGGCCTGTGACGATCCCCTGTGTCAACATTTTGGCTCCTAAGTACACTTGAATAGCACTGCACTAGATATATCCAGAGCACTACAGATATCTATCCACGGGCTAGCATATCTATCTGTGTGCTATAGTAGACAAGAGCACTACAGATATCCATCCACAGGCTATTATATACATCTGTGTGCTATAGTAGACAAGAGCACTACAGATATCCATCCATGGGCTAATCCATCTGTGGCTTTAGTAGACAAGAGCACTACGGATATCCATCCATGGGCTAGTCCATCTGTGGGCTATAGTAGACAAGAGCACAACAGATATCCATCCACGGACTAGCGTATCTATTTGTGGTATATTTTAGCAAAAGATATACATTTTCATTAACAGTGATTATCTAAATGACACGCACATGACACAAATAATGATCTTACAATCTGTCAAGCTTGCCACTCCTGCCAAGGTAGTGATGGGTACACTGGGTGTTTCACCGTTCATAATGCATTGACACTACATCTCTTGTAGAGGAAAAACTGCAATCAAATATAAACACACCACTGTAACATGACCAGAAACTCTATTATATATAACATCATAAAAACGTAATGATAATAAGCACCACGAGATACATTATGATAAATGGATAGCCTATCCAGGATAAATATATGTTTAAAAAAAAAACAGAATTCACTTATCAGATGCAATTATTATTGTCAGACTGGCTTGCAGGTCATGCCAAGTGCCGAAATTCGCAGGCTTTACTAGATCAGTATGAGGCTAAAACAATTATGACAGCAAGCATGATTCTGTATCCTGTAAGACATCACATATAGTGGTCACATTCGATTCCTCCACACTTGTATTGAATGCAACTCTTCCGAATTCTGACATGGAGTTCAGCCCGGCATTTTTAGCTTTTCATAATAATCTTCTTAATGTTCCTTCTTTTTCTCAGACTCTTTTGTTTCCTATTTTAGTGCTTGTTTTGTAATTCTTTGCTCATTTTTATCTCAGACCAATATACCCCATCTTCTTTGTCTTACTGCAGTCAATACAGGTATTTGTCAAGACCTTTCTCTGATCTCACATTTTGTTTTAAAAATGCATCCCATTTTATGTTCATGATTTTTTCTCAGATGTTTATTTTCAAATGCAACACCTCTTCTCATTTCCCCTGAAATAAATCCTTGTGGATTTTCACAAGTGCTGGACTGTGGACAATCAGCATAGTTTTTTTTTTACAACAGGGTTATCCTTCAGTGGGGCCAAAATATTTCATTTGTCTGTTTTTTCTTTTCTTTTAATAACTCTTTCAATGTAAAGTTTCTTTCTCCATGAAACACGATCTATTTCTGTGTATATCCATATCTCCAGGGCCTTAATTTAACTTTCAAATTGCTTGCTCACTGTCTTGCGGATGAAGGCTAATCACCGTACTGCCTTTTGATTATTGTAATTGATTATGTAAAGCTGACATACATTTTACATATTTTTCTTATAGACTTTGCTAGCTTTACTGCTGTTACCTTATTTCAACAACTGTTCAATAGCCAGGGTTCTGCACATTTTAGTTCAGTTAAAATGAACAATACAAATAAAGTACAAATGTTTTGGGAACTTATGTGAATTTTTCTAAATCAATTTTTACTTATATATAAATAAAACCAGTGCAGGTGGATACAGATGTTTCATATTTTTATTTGATAAAAGTGGAGAAATTAAATAACACACAGTGATCACAGACGTTATTTATGTGCACTAGCTGACTGGCATTCATCATTTCATTTTTTTTTTTGGGGGGGGGGGGGGGGGGGGGGGGGGGGGGTATTTACAGCGATTGTTTGTACTCAGCGCAGCCCTTCCGGCCTATCATGTGTTTGATTGTTTCCACTTGATTGATTCTTATTAAAAAGCACATCAAGTAAAGTGTTGTACGATGACAAAAGACTGAAACATAATGTTTTACTACTTTCTAACGACACAATCTGGATAATGTAGCCGTTAAAACTGCAAGTAGAGCAACACAACACACCCGACGACACATTCGCACTGGGTCGTTTCTGGCTTCATGTCTGTCTAAACGCTAGGGGGTGGGGGAAGAAGTGCTTGCGATCACTGATCACAAATATTGCCATCTTTGATATACCGGAACCTTACTATCATATTGTGCAGACAAAAGCATAGTTCATGAGGTGAGGAAGATAAAATTCTGCAGTTTGTTGGATTGAGTAAGAAATGTGGATACACATGAAATAAAAGTAAAACTACAATGTTTTTTGTAGTAAGTACGACTGTGCGGCACAACGCGGAAGGATACACATTTGCTACCAAAACATGTAAAGCAGTGGGAAAGATGCAGATAGCTTATATAACTTCTCACAATCTTAATACGAAAAATATTATTTACTACAGCAAATATTCATATCCACAAAGGCACCGCTCGCAAAAATGAGAAGAAACAGGCATCCTCAACGGCGACTGCCTTCTGCGGCCACTAAATCGTCCATTGTTGGCGAAGCACAGTACACACTCACCTGTACAAAATCAGGACGATTTCATATGTAGCGATATATTTTGATGAAATTTTTGCACCAAAATAAAGGTGAATGTTTACATGATGTTACTAGCGCAAATCCATACGAATTAATATGAGATAAACATGATAAAGTAGCAATAATTTCCAAGAATTCGGCGAAACACCGCGCCAAAAATTAGCACAACCTAACAACATACAACACTTTAACATCCGCCTGAAGTAGTTCTACAACAAAATTCATAAACATTTCAACATCTTGTTTCATCCTTTATTCGTATTTATTTAAGTGTATACTTATGTATTTGGTTAAAATGTCTGTAAAAATTTGTGATAAGAGGGTAAAATTGATGAACTGTTTTTTCAGCGTATGAATTCAACCAGTCGTGTTTGAGTCTTTGAAACTAGTGCAGGAGGACATACAAAAGTGAGGTGGAATCAAACCAGCAGGCCAGAAGTGGGACACTAACTGCTACTACAGGGGCAGCTGGGCTCGGATGTTGATCAGCCAGCAGGGAGAGATCGTGGAGAACTGAGAACACAGTTTGTAGTCGGGTCTTGTTTCGTCAATCATGGGCAAGCTGAGACGGGTTTTTGTTATCGGTGTTGGCATGACAAAAGTAGGAAAGATGTTCCTGTAATATTCTGTTTATGCAAACTATTTTTGCCTCTTAAAAAATTGTAAATAAACTTTAAATTTCTTTTAACGGTAACGTAACCTGTGGCCTCTAGCAGTCAGCATCATTTGTCTACTATCACAAGTAAAAGTTAGGACACTAACAAAACCGTATTTGCTAAATACCACACCTTAGCCATACCTCAATGACCGACAGCGCTAGTTCTTCCAGCCATTGTGACATTGTTAAAGAAAATATTGATCAAATAAATGTTAAAACGAACAAAAGTTTTTAAATTTTATTACTCACATCTTGTAACGTTAAGGCAAAGCTGAGACATCCCTATCTGTTTACCTACAGTGCAAAGTACATCGTTATTGATTGATAAGCTGTGTTGACTAAAATGCATTCATGTAGTGACATATTTTTACTTCTGGTATTTATATATTTAAAAAAAAATCTTACCCATGTTATTAATTAATTGTAATCTATTTATATTGCCACAAAGTATTTACCGACATCATAATGGCTAATACACCACTGTAGTTGGGACAAATAAAGAAAATCTCAAATAACAGAGACAACAGCTGCACACAGAAAAGAGTTGAAAATGAGCAGACCAAGAAGATGGCTAAGGCCAGCCCTAAATACACAGTCACCATTTGGAAAGGCCAGTCAAAGAGATGAATGCAGGCAGGGGATATTGATATCTGTTGCTATGAACGTCAGTATTTCAGAGGGCAGAATAAGAAGAAAAGAATTAGTGAATATTTTAGAAAGGTTACAGATGAAATATCTATGGTGAATTCTAAATGTACAAAGAGAAAAAATCAGAAACAACCATTGCTAAACTACATCAAGAATGTTGAATTAAAAATTAACATCCCAGCACTCAGGACACTCTCATATGCCCTTTATCCCCATCTTCAGCAGCAGACAAAGAGTTCCAGTTCCAATTGTACCAGTAACTGTCTGATTGTACATCCATCTCAACCTGCCCTTGTGTGTTAAACATCGGCCAGATCTCCTGGCAAAACTACATCAAGAGAAAACAGATCAGAACTTTGGATGTGTTAGGATTACAACAGAATTATGCATCACAGAGATCCCTGTCATTTAAACATGATGGAAGCTGAACCAAAAGTTGCCCATGCAAGCAAAGGGTAGATGGAATATCTGAGGCCATGAATGGTAGCACTCGTACACCCCCTTCCATGCCCAATGACAGAAAGCCTTTGCAACATTAATTAAAACAAAAATTAGCAACTAAAGAGATTATTCTATTAAAAATTAGAATTGTCAAATCCTGGGTGTTCATGGGCTTAGACTTCTGTTTGACAAAACCAGGTTTTACTAAAGAGTTTGTAGTTGAGGTTTGAGCTCCACTGTAATTGAGTCATCCCATACTTGTTTCGTTTCCATACCAGTGTGAATCAGATAAAATGTCTCTTACTGTCCCATTTGAAAATTTATGAACAAACTGAATTATGCACAGGCAGTAAATGTATAAGGCATTTGCTAGAGGTGCCAGAGTCAACAGTCACCACCAGAAGTGCAATTTGTTGATGATTAAAGTAGTCAGTTATGATACACACGCAAAGTTATTACATAACGTATTTTGCCAGGCCACACGTAAACCAGTGACCCACTATAATACACCGACACACACACACACACACACAGAAAGAGTTGAATGAGAGCAGACTAAAAAGACAGTGAAGAGATAATAAACTCGCAGACCTCCAAACATTTGAAGTCACCAACTGAAAAGCGAGGGCCAGCCACAAAAGTGAATTGAGGCTGATGATATATGCAGCAGTGAACCTCAAGGACTTAAAATGCTGGGAAAAAAGCATGTTATTTATGCACAGATCTGCTATGTGGTTCAGAAACCTTGACAGCGAACAAGGACTAGAAGAGTTGAAGTGAAGTTGCAGGCATGTGAATATGCAGAAAATTCAAGCACGACTGGAAATGAAAAGAAAAAAAGGAAAAGAAAAGTAAAATATTTTGGTCACATTAGAAAACATTCACTGTTTTAAGAGCATGGGGATGTTAGTATACAATGATGTTGATCACGATAGCAAACATTTTCTAAAAGTCATACTAGATGGGAAAGTTGAAAACATATGAGGTATATGAGTGAGAGGTAACAATATTACATGGCTGAGTTTTGCTGTCAAGGCTTGTGAGGTGAAATATGTAGTCGTTAAGCCCTCCATGACTATTTAAAAAAAAATTGTAATCTGGTTAGTGAAAGCGGTGACATTTTATTGTCAGAATATGTCTATATGTAATTGCACTGCAGCCTGGGCTCACTGAAACTTGCATGTTTGTCTCTGATCCAT